TGTGTTGTTTTTCTAAACCTACATCACACAAGACAGCATCTCACGATCACCAAATAATCATTAACTAACGATCACTAAACACCACACAGGGTTATGTAGGAGGTTGGTCGCTTCCACAGTCTCGGGCTGTCTGAGGCGAGATTAATGTTTAGCGGCAAATCTTTGTATTTCGTGACATTTCTTACATACCACGGTGGATTAACCATGATACGTAAAATTTTATTCTAGAGTGTTTGTATGATTTTGATATTGCTGTGTTTGGTACAACCCCATAGTTGAATACCATATATCTACATAAGCAATAAGACTTGTTTGTATAATATTTTATTTTGTAGCAAGGTTGGAGCCACGTCCTATCAACCAGTAGAGCTGTCTATATCTTAAACCTATTTCTGTTCTTTTTTTCTTCATATGTACTTTCCATCTCATCTTGGCATCTAAGGTCATTCCTTGATATTTATCTGGATCGCTGTATCGTATAGTAGTTCCAACGATTGTGATCGACGGAACATGGTTGCCTTTTTTGTTTGTAAAGATTAGATGAACTGATTTAGCTTGAATTTCCATTTTTTTGTCTATTCGTTTATCGTATTACAAGTATTTTGAAGGATTTTGTTTGACTGGTTGATAGTCGGTCTTACTGATATCAACGATGTGTCGTCTGCAAACGTTGCAATTTTTACTCCATCTATTTTCGGAAAATCACTGGTGTATAACAAGTAAAGAAGTGGACCTAATATGCTACCTTGTGGCACTCCTGCATTTATTGTTTTTAATTCTGAACATTGACCTCCTTGTTTGACTATACTGTCAGTTAGGTAGGAATTGGTAATATCGACTGCTTTGGTAGCATCATTTTTAGTTTATTGATGAGTCCTTCGTTATTTATGAGTGTAACATGAAGAGGCAAATTTCTTATACAAGACTTAGGTATGAGTTGACTATTTTAAAACAAGCTGAACATTAAATAAAAAAACTGTAACGATCAATCTCTTCAACCATACATCTTTAAAATTGGAGCGAAAGGACAAACTGGAAAAAGATGAAACGGCAAAGATTTACTTTTGTTAAAATTAAATCAAGGTTTGTTTAAGATAAACCAAGACATTCTTTGATCCTTGTCCGTAGTTTCTTTTACCTGCATCGGGTTCTTACCTCTGAAGATACACATCATTTACATAAATCACAAGAACATCCTCTGAAAGTAAAACGCTGAGCAAGTCATTGTAGCAATTAAAAATTAGGAGATAATTGATCTCTGAGAAACTCCTTTGCCAAATTGGGCAAATTTTGAGTTAAATGACCGGATGATGATTTGGCTTCAATTCAAACACAAGTGGTTCTGTCGGATACGAATGACGAATCCACTCTAGTCCCACTCATTCTTCCATAACTCGACTTTACTGCATAAAATATTAAAGTCGAAAGAATCGAAAGCCTTAGATCAAAATAAAGAGCTTTTACTTTCCATACTAAATCCTGACTGTTATATATATAAATTACATGGTAGAAGTATCCATCAGTTGTGGATTTCCCATTAATAAATTCGAATTGACGAAAAGAAAGTCAACCTCTTGTGAAAAACCCGCTGGAAGAATTGCAGAAGCCAGAAATAGAAGAAATCGGCCTATAATTGGCTTTATCATTCATGTCTGTCCACTGTTCAACAGTCTGCGAAAAAGTCCAATATTCAATGGTTATGTTGAACAATTCGCAACAACAAAGGACAGGTCTAGGTATTTCATCATCACTATGCTTTGCTGCTCAAGAGTTGACAATGTCGAGAAAACTTCCTCAAATGAAGCTTACCTGGATTGAATATCAAATTTTCTCTGTCACTTGATGAAAAACTTTTCAAATAATTGTAGAACCGAAACAAATAAGGACGATGCATACAGTAGGGTTCGGGACCTTTGTGTCCAAGTTGGCTTTGGCCAACATGTCAACCTTTTCATTGCCTCTATTCCTCGAATGCCCAGGGATGTCAGGTCATTGGTGTCGCTGACTTCCGCCAGGACTTCCAATTCCAAACACTCTTTCGCCTTTATCTCGCACAATTCCACTAATGACTTGAAAATATCTAGCAGATCAGGTAGTAAGTAAAAGGGCGGACACCTTTAAGCTCGAATGCTCCGATGCCATATACGATCGAAGGTTTGCTCACATCTAGTAATACACGAAAGCAGCACTTCTTTTCTCGAGAGCTGTAGCGATGCTGTCTAGATCGCGATGGCACTGCTGAACAGTTGAATGAGGACGTTTGAACCCAAACTGGTGGGGGACAAGGCTACAGGAATAAAGGTGGAAAAGGAAAACTTAGAAAAGAAACAGTCAAAGTAAACGAAATAAATCTCATGATGATAGCAAGTGCTTAAACAACCCTTCCTAGATCAGCACCTAGGTGCAAATTTTAAATTTTCTATTAGGTTTCGTGGTCCGATTGACCAAATAAATTCTTTTCAATTAATTAAGGTTTTGGTTGAGATAAAAAAAGTCAGTGTCTCGAGCGGGATTCGAACCCACGACCATCAGCCATATATGCCGCAGGTGTCCGAGTGGATCTAAGTCACAATAGCTCAAGTGGTAGAGGTAGGTATTTGGCCGAAGGTCGTGGGTTCGAATCCCGCTCGTGACACTGACTTTTTTATCTCAACCAAAACCTTACGTAAAAGATTAATTAATTGAAAGAACTTATTGTTATATACAAAACACGAAGTTTGGTGTGGACTTCTCGAAAATAAATTAATTGGGCCTTATTTCTACGAAAATAATTTAAAGGTGCTCAGTTCCTCAATTTTTAGGAGGTTTTACCAACACTATTAGATTATGTTTCTCTGCAACAATGACAAAGAATGATTCTCCAGCTTGATGGGTGCCCCGCACAAAATTCTTTGCAAGACGTTATTTGAAGTGAATCGAAGCCACGATAGCTCAAGTGGTAGAGCTGCGGTGTATTTAGCCGAAGGTCGTGGGTTCGAATCCAGCTCGTGACACTGACTTTTTTTATCCCAACCAAAACCTTAATTAAAGATTAATTAATAGAAAATAATTGTAAATAACGTTCTACTTTTTAATTGAACGAAGGTTTTATTCCATTTTCTGCCAATATTAGCTTTTTCGGATTTTACCAATGTTTTGATTACGTTGAGCCAATATTTTTTATAGAAAATTTTGTTTTGTCGGTTATTCATCTATGTTTAAATCTAGTAAAGAAATGTGTCTGTGGTTTTTTAGATTTTGATATCTGCCAATTCACAAACTTCTGGCGTTTCTGGACAGTAGATTAAAAGAAAAGCTAACATGCATAAAAGTTTGTGGCAAAGCGTAAAGAAGAAAGTTTCCTTAAATGTGTCACTAAATCTAAAATGTCATCAAGGAAAGATTTTCTTTTATTAAAGCAAAATTTACAAAAAACAGAATATTTAGTTGTTCCAGTAGGTCGAAATCAGTCATAAAAACAGTTTTTATCATTTCGCCCTATCGACTCAAATTATTTCGCCAGCTTACAAAATTATAAAAAAAAAAACAATCTAATCAATAAAATAGTTGAAAAGGTTGGATTGACAAACTGGTTTTATGTTGATCCGGATTTCGAGGTGTAATCGCTCATCAGAAAATTTTTCTTGTGTTCAAAAGGAAAAATTTATTAAAAAAAAAAAAATTCAAAATTTCTGTTACAATGAAAATAACCAAAAACATACAATATATATTAAACTGATATAAGTAATCTAAAAGTGGGACGCTATTTTTTTTTCCATAAAATAAATTTGTATAGCATTTTAGTTCCGGTGAATTGCAGAAAGAAAGTTTTAGAACAAAGGATGTTTTTATTGCCCTTATCTACTAAAATTTTATTTGTATGCGTTTAAAATTTATCGCATTTAACGTCTGAATTTTGCCACGAAACCAAAAATTTATTTTCTTGACAAATGTCATAAATGTACAGTAACAATTTTGTTGTAATGACCTGTTTTTTAATCTCATTTTACATTTTTTGTTGTTTTTATCATTACTGCTTGTAGTTATTTTATTACTAACTTCTTGCAACCCTGAATGTTTTCCCTGTGATTTTATGGCATATCCGCTACCTGAAGCTTTCTTGTTCGAATAATTTTAAAACATTTTTAAAGCAGGTAAAGTTCGACTTGAAAAACAAGTGCACCCGGAAATCTTCATAAACCTTGTAATTGATGACATCCCGTATCCATTGACTGCGCGTTTTTGTCCGCCTTTGTGTTATTATTTTCCATTTACAGTATTTCACGTGTTAATTGATAATTCGGTTCGACGACCTAAAACTTGAATCTTGGTCGATGGATGAGTTGATTCAATTTACAATTCGCTGTGATCATCTGGTCTGCCCTATTTGCGTTATCTAATACAACAGTTAACTTTTCTGTGACAGTTGACAACATAAAACCAGTTTTTTTTTCTTTCATTAAATTAGCTTTATCATGAAAGTTGAAATGATTAGATACGGTGCAGTTGGAAAACATTTGTGATAATTGCAGCTTAAACAATGAAATCTAAAATATAAACATTTAAAAAATTAGATTATTTTTTACAGATCTTATTTCATAGTATAAATTATGAGAAACAACATTCAAGGTCAGATGACATCAATAAAACCATTAATTGTCATAGTGTTGTGATAGTCTTTGGAACGTTTCACTTTTGTCTTTAGGGACACTTAAAACAATAATTCATGATGCCTTCATTATGCTAATTCTTTATCGACTGTAATAAAAGCAGTCAAAATTATTAAATTATCAGTAATCAATAAAACTACCTTGCGATATATTTTGACTTGATTAAGTTAAATATTTTTTTTTAATAGATTTATCCTATGACATTTAGTTCATCGACCATATAGGTCATTAAGTCGGGATCACGATTTTCTATGGGAAAACTATTCTTTGATATTAAAAAAAAAAAAAACAATTTTGTGCATTACATAGGCAGAACAGTTTAAAGCTTAAAAGATCAATTTATAAACTCACATTTCCTCGGTGGTCAACTCTATTTGTTCCATCATGTTTGCATCGCCAGGGTCGATCGGCGGAATTCCAGCAGAAGTTACGCACCGAGGACAGAACGCGACTGGAGTATCTAACGCACCGGCCACTTCTGGAGTTCTGGGTCACGTGCTGGTGCTTCTAGCCGAATAGCCACGATCCCCACCATAGATCCATTTCTATGCGTATCCCTACTGCCGATCCAAACTTCCAGAGTAGTTTTGTCTATCACCTCGATATTCGTCCAAATTTCTATTTCATTTCATAATTTTTTTTATAGGAACATGCAATTTATTTACCACATAAATTGTAATACATGTTCCTTGTACAATCATTAGGATGTAATTAATGTTTACATGATCATTTATCTTGAATATTAACGATTAAAAAGTTTTTTTTCTTTCATGAAACTCTATAGCGATTTTCCATGTTCAATTTGGAGCAGTGGAAAATAATGTGTTTCCGTGTTTGGGCTCCGCCCATGCGCATCCGTTGTCGTCCTCGATGACCATGGACCTTTTTAAAGGAGCTTTGGTTTTACGTGACCGGAGAAAAATCCGTTTTTATATGCGTGCTTGCAGACTTAGACATTTGGAATGCTGAACACTAGCACGTGCGAGATGACTTCCTTTGTACTTGAAATGCTTTTCAAATAACTATGAATTTTAGCGTATGACGCTTCGCAGTTGTGTTAAGATGTCTGAATATTGACGGTATTGTATCCGCATCGAAAGTTCTTCCTCGAAAACTTTAGTTTTTAGGCTATTAAAAGTTCAATACTAATTACAGAAATATTAAGACTGTCACGTTGGGAATGACTTGGTAGTGCGTACGACTGAGCTCGTTCTTCCTAAGACTAACTTCCAGGTTGTATAATATAATTTGTATTTATTCTTTTTTTCAACATTGGCCTTAAGAAACCTCCAGGATCGTTTCTCTTGTTTGGAAGAATGTTTCAAGAAATACCTTCACCATTCGCCGTATCGCATCTCCAACTGCAACTATTTTCCTCTACAAGAGACCAATGTCGTATTTGGGACTTTACATCGACAAAAGGTTTACTTGTTACCTCCACCCATGGCTCAAAAGAATAGAACTGAAAAGGCGAGCTGAACTGGTCAAAAGATTTGGCCAACAGAATGAAAGAATACGAAACAACTATCTCAATACTACTACTACGAACTTTGGTTTTTAACCTCCAAAGAAACCAGTCTTTCTGGTTCCTTCGAATCATTGCCAAAGGTGCCTACTTTGCATCTAACTTTAAGATCCTAAATCCATCCATTCACACATTCATTCACTCTACACCAGTGCTCAATATTCCTTGGAGTAATTGGCGATGAGCCCGCCATTCAAGCTAATAAATTCATTCACTCTACACCAGAGTGCTCAATATTCCTTGGAGTAATTGGCGATGAGCCCGCCATTCAAGCTAATAAATTCATTCACTCTACACCAGAGGTCTCAATATTCCCGGGAGTAATTGGCGATGAGCCCGCCATTCAAGCTAATAAATTCATTCACTCTACACCAGAGGTCTCAATATTCCCGGGAGTAATTGGCGATGAGCCCGCCATTCAAGCTAATAAATTCATTCACTCTACACCAGAGGTCTCAATATTCCCGGGAGTAATTGGCGATGAGCCCGCCATTCAAGCTAATAAATTCATTCACTCTACACCAGAGGTCTCAATATTCCCGGGAGTAATTGGCGATGAGCCCGCCATTCAAGCTAATAAATTCATTCACTCTACACCAGAGTGCTCAATATTCCCGGGAGTAATTGGCGATCAGCCCTCCATTCAAGCTAATAAATTCATTCATTCTACACCAGAGTGCTCAATATTCCCGGGAGTAATTGGCGATGAGCCCGCCATTCAAGCTAATAAATTCATTCACTCTACACCAGAGTGCTCAATATTCCCGGGAGTAATTGGCGATCAGCCCTCCATTCTACCTAATAAATTCATTCACTCTACAACAGAGTGCTCAATATTCCTTGGAATAATTGACCATGAGCCCTCCATTCAAGCTAATAAATTCATTCACTCTACCACACAATACACTATATTCTTCCGGGTAATTGGGGGATGATCCTTTCTATTCACCTATTAAACTATATCACACATTCATTCACTCTCAGCATATACGCGGACCTTCAAGAAATGTGGTTAAAGGAGACCGACGAACAACGTGCAACAATTGATGCTCTCAGTGGAGCAGAGTTGACCAAAAGAGTCTTCTCTATTACAAATAAATTCGCAAAGCTATTATGAAAAGTCTGACATACCTAAACAAGCATAATCTTCCCCAACTTTCCTCTGCCCGGCCTATTCTGGGAAAAAATGGCTGGAGTGTTGAGTCGTACTACTGAATAAACTATAAACGCCCCTGTAAACCAATTGGGTGGATGAAACTCTCCATTCGCGCTAATGAATTACATGCACAAGTATTATCAGTTGTCTGTAATATTTAGTCGTAATAACAAACAACAGTATTTTGTAATATGTAGCAATATTTATAATAGAACATAAGAAATCGTTTTCAACACAAAAAAGCAAAGAAATTGAAATTGCCTTTGCAATATTTAATCAGTACTTAACTAAATATGTGATAAAGTCGATATCTGAAGTAGATAAATCATAAATAATGTCGTCTATTTATATTTGAAGGATTTATCGCTTTTCATTACTGATTTTATTAATTAAAATCAAAGAACAAAAATATTTATTAATTTTTTTACGATAAACATTTTGATTTAAATGACGGCAGGAGATAGAGTGTACAGCACATCACCATTGGTCAAGAAGTGACCCTCCCCCAATTTTTTCTCTTTTTCAAGATACAATATCTTTATATTACATAATCAGTAAACAATGAGTTGGAAAATATATTTAATTCATTAAAAAATTTAATTAAACTTTCCATGAAATTTTAATTGCAAGTTGTTTCGTCTATTGCCGAAGAAAAAAAGAAAGAAATAAAATAAAAATATAATGAAATGAAAGTAAATGAATTCAACTTCTTTCATTTCATTATATTTTTTATTTTCTGTATTTTTTTATTTTTTCTTCGGCAATAGCCGAAACATTGGTCCTCCGGGCCGGATAGGTGCAAATCGGCCTCTGGATATCTAGTCTCATATCTCAAAAGAAGGTGGAGCTGGTAGAGGGTCTACACACCGTCAGACCCCGCGAGTGAGGCAGTCCCAAAAAGTTGGACTTTGACGAGGCGGTCCCAGTATCTCCAAAGAAGGTGGGGGGGGGGGGCAGAAGCATATACACCGTCATCATGAGTGAGGGTGAGGCGATCGCAGAAGTGACCATTTTATACTACTACGTTTTTTTAGGTATTTTTCAAGAAAAACAAAAAACCCGAAAAAATTTCGTTTTTTTACATATTTTTCAAGAAAAACGCAAAAAAAAAAAACCGAAAGATTTTCTATTGTCTTTTTCGATGTAAAAGGCTCGTAGGATACGTTTTTACGTATTTTTCAAGAAAAACGCAAAAAAAAACAAAAAAATCGAAAAAGTTTTTATTGTCTTTTTCGATGTAAAAGGCTCGTAGGACACGTTTTTTTTTTTAAAGAAAAACGCAAAAAAATCGAAAATTTTTTAATTCTTTTCAACGTAAAAGGCTCATAGGACATTTTTTTTTCAAGAAAAATGCAAACCCCCCAAAAAATTGAAAAAAATTTTATTGCCTTTTTCGATGTAAAAGGCTCATAGGACTTTTGTTTGTTTTTGTTTTTTTAAGAAAAATGGAAAAAAAATCGAAATTTTTTTTGTCTTTTCAACGTAAAAGGCTCATTGGGCACCTTTTTTTTCAAGAAAAATGCAAAAAAAAATCCCAAAAAATTGAAAAAACAATTTTTATTGTCTTTGTCGATGTAAAAGGCTCGTAGGACACGTTTTTTTTTTGTTTTTTTTTAAGAAAAATCGAAAAAAATTTTGTCTTTTCAACGTAAAAGGCTCATAGGACTTTTTTTCAAGAAAAATGCAAAAAAAAAAAACAAAAAAATTCAAAAAATTTTTATTGTCTTTTTCGATGTAAAAGGCTCATAGGACACGTTTTTTTTTTTTTTTTTTTTTTTTACGTTAAGATGGGTTGGGTTAAGTTAGGTAGGGTTAGAGTTACGATGTGCTGGATTAAATTAAGTACAGTTATAGTTAGGATGGTTGGGATTGAGCAACATAGAGTTAGAGTTAGTATGGGATGAATTAAGCTAGGTAGGGTTATGGTTAGGAACGGGCTGGATTATGCTACTTAAGGCATAACACTTAAACGAATTAGTTTAAGTTAGATAGGATTAGGATTGGGTTAACATTAGAGACAAGGTGAGTAAGGCTAGTTAAGGTAGGGATGGGTTAATTTAAGTAAGGTAGTTTTATGGTTAAGATGGTTTGTTTTAAGGTACATAGGGTTAGGGTTAAGCTGGATTATGCTAGTTAAGGTAGGGACAAATTAATTTAAGTTCGATAGGGTTAGGATAGGGTTAAGGTTAGAGACGGGCTGATTAAGGTAGGGACGAGTTAATTTAAATTAGGTAGGGTTGTAGTTAGGATGGTTTGGATTAAGTTACATCGAGTTAAAGTAAGGATGGGTTGGATAAGGTAGGTAGGGTTAGGGCTGGGCTGGGTTATGCAAGTTAAGGTAGGGACAAGTTATTTTAACTTAGTAGAGTTTGGATTAGTGTTAAGGTTAGAGACAGGTTGAATAAGGCTAGTTAAGGTAGGGATGAGTTAATTTAAGTTAGGCAGGAATTAGGGCTGAGGATGGGTTAGGTTACATAACCATGATTCAGTTTTTTTTCTTTAGATGGCCGAGATCATGTTGAAATAAATTAAAAAAGAAGAGTAAAAAAAAATATATGTGTCAAATTTAATTTATATTAGTCCATATATCTTACAAATCAGACTTGCAATTTTATTATTAGACAGTTCATTATTTTGTGAAGGTTTTTTTTACATTTTAGCACGCAAATACTAAACGATATGTTAAATTAGCTGGTGTAGGTACCACGTTCAAGCCATGAATCACAGGAGCTGGCTTTTATATTATTACTAAAGTTATTTTCATGATCATTTACAGATTTACACATTAAAAAAAAAAAAAAAGCACAACCATATGATAAAAATATATTGACTTGACAGCATTCTATAAAATTATATGTATATGCCTGCTATCTAAGATATTTTTTGGCTATTACAAGAAGAAATCCCTTACCAGTTTGTCTTTAGGAGTCGAAGTTACTCAACAATTTCAGCAGTTTTTTTTCTTTTACCATTCTTTGAAAAACGCAATGATATTCTTGTTTTGAATATTTTTCTTTAACGCTATCTAGCATTTTTATTCCGTTAAGAATAACTTGAGCCATTTGAGCAATAGTTGGCTTTAAATTGTTAATATTGTAGCCTGTGTCAAATGACAAACATTCAGTCCACAAATTGACATCGAGTGTACTACAAGAGAGGCAACATGCAATGAAAGAAGCCGCCGATGCTATCAACGAAGGCCGCTCATGGCAAAAAATTTCTTCAAACAATATCATGTCAATAATGAACTTGCCGAAAGTATGCTGAATCCTGTTTGATCTTATGATCATGTTGATCCTTCTGAGAAAATGTAAAGAAGAAGGTCTTCCAATACCAAAATCGAGTACATTCAATATCTTCATTTCCATGTTTCTAAAATCAATCCTCGAATTTGGAGGATTGCAAGAAGTTAGAAACCTGTGGAATCGGTGGACGGCGACTTCTTCGTATTTTGTCGCAATAGACATACAGCAAAGAGTTATCAATTTCAAATTGCTTTCGTTAACTTCCAAAAGTTCTATACTTTTATCAAGCAAATAAACGCTTAAATGGACTGATTCCTGCGTCAACTTCAACTTTTGTGAAATCGACCAAATCCAATCGACCGCCCGTCTTCTCATTTTGTCTGTCACGGCTGGATTCGTAGGCCACTTTTGACAGAGTCTTTCTAATTCTATTTTTTTCAGATATTTATAAATATGAGAAGCATATTGAGGGACAAGAAAGAATTTTTCAAGACAGTTCACAATTTCGCACTTACTCTCTTTTTCATTTTCTTGTTTCATGTTGCCTTTTATATCTGGCTGGATTGACTTATTTTTATTCTCCTCCTCATAAATTCCAGAGTTCACATTTTTCGTAACATTACTGATATTCTGCAATGCCTTCCGCTTGACACCTAATTTCCCCTCTTCTTCCAAATTATTCGAGTTTGAAATTTTATTTTCATTGTCCTCACAAGTTTCACCGATAGTTTTGCTTTTTCTTAATAAATACGCTTTGTGCTGGGATCCAATAGTCAGCCTCCTCTTTACCATGGGCATAGTGTTTAATTAGTTGTTGAAGTTTTAAATGAATAAGTGTTAAATACTGGTTAACAATGATGGTTAATATAACAATTTGTTTTCAAAATACCTTTTGTTTATTGGATAAACAACATATAGTTCGTTTTAATTTAAACATATGGATATTTGTTTGAATAACATATTTGTCCTAAAAAAAAATTCCTTCAATATTTATTCATATTTTATTTTCTGTAATACAAAAAATTAATTCACAAAATTTAAAGACTTAGAAGACCAACTTAAATAAGTAACATTTATGTACATTTTGAAACATTTTGTATAAGATTAAATTTTTAAAATAAAAATTGAGTCTCCCTATTTATATACAACATATGCATTTTCTTGAACTATCCAGTTGTAGTTTAACAATTTAATAGGAGCTTAGTTTAGTAAGCACATTGTATCCTGGAAGATTAAAAAAATAATAATAAAATAAAACTAACTTAAATGCTGCATGAATACAGATATTGATTTATAATTTAAATCATAACACTAAAAACTTAATTACAAAAATATAATACAGTGCGGATACGTAATACAAATATATACATCGATAACAATAACAATAACAAGAACAATAATGTATTCACTTAGTGAATATTGAAGGGTTCATTTTAAGAATCCAGTTGACGCACTCGAGGAGCAGAGGCATGTTGAAGCTGACGGCTATCCCCTTGAAAGTTTTTAGATATTTTCCAAGCTCCTGGCGATTTATGAGCGTTTGGAATTGACCAGCGCATGTACAATGCTCAGTCATGTTTTCCATTTTGATCTGATGGCATTTGACGCATTGCAGGTCCTGGAGTATGTAAGCCATCGACTTTCTGTTCACAATATCAAGCAGAATTGTTTCTATTTCTAAATTGTCGTAGTTAGTATCGCAGATTGGGCATTGCCAATAATACCTGTATTAAAAATATTAGTTAGCAAAAAATCGCTGTCATAAGTAAACAAAAAGGAGAGTCGTTTCTAGTCATCCTGATCTGCTTATTTACACCATTTTGTTCTTTAGTTTGTTTTATTTTATTTTTTAGAATAAGTAAAATGACAAACAAAACTTGACACTAATTGTGCACTGCACAAAATGACCGACAAACCAAAGGCGTAAGATTTCAAATATGACCATGTCAAGCAATGCTGCTATACTGGACCTACATGATCAATAAAGAAAAAGAAAAGGAGTGCAGTCCTATGCTGAACGCGGTACCGCAAACTTCTCTCAAAAAATAATGACACGGATTTACCGACGGTGAGTGATAAAGAAAAAAACCTATTCACAAGAAGGAATCTTTTTTTGTTCTTTAATTAGAATTAGAATAGAATTTATAATATTAGAAATTAATAAGAAAATTAAATTTTAATTTATAATTATTTTTGGATGGCGAAAGAATGTTTATTTATTTATTTTATTTTATTTTTTTTAATTTTTTTTTTAATTGTAAAAAGGAAATTTTTTTAGTTTTAAGGTTACAAAACAAACATCTTACAAGATGTTTATTTTTGTTAGCTTTTACTGAAATTTGATCATAAATATAATTATTAGCATCATGTCAATTTTATTATTTTGTTATGATTATTTTATTATGATGCTAACAATTATATTTATGATCAATTTTCAGAAAAAAGCTAACAAAAATAATCATCTTGTAAGTTGTTTGTTTTGTAACCTTAAAACTAAAAAAAATTATTTTTTGGGAGAAGTTTGCAGTACCCCGTTCAGCGTAGGACTGCCCTCCTATTCTTTTTCTTTGTTGATCTTGTAGGTCCAGTACGGCAGCACTGCTTCACAATGATGCTGTTACGCAACGACCGGAAACCACTATTTCAAAATTATGCCAGAAAATGTATAAACTCACATGTCATTAACGATCGCTCGGTTGTTATCTTTACACAAATCAATATCCCTGCAGTGATTGCAGGATCTGCAGATGACTTCTGGTAAAATGACGGAAGAACACGGATCGTGCCATTCGGCATCGTTACTAAATTCCCCGGTGTTGATCAACCTAAGCAGATTCCTTTTTAAACTGCTAACTTCATCTTCCACTGCCGAATCCAAAGATAAGACCTAAATTATAAAAAAATAATTATTAACTAGTAGCTTTTGAATTAAAAAAAAAAAAAATGTGAACCTTGCTGATGGCTTTAACAAATTCCAAAGCAGGTTTCATAACATTATGAGCTCCTGCATGAAACTGGGTGAAATTTATAATGTCATCTTCCTTCAATTTATAAATAGGTAGTTTTTTCTGGATTTTTTGTGTAATTCTAAAATATAAGAAAAAATCAATGTCTTATTTTTTAAATATAAATATTCAATTATATTTAATTAAAATAATTACAAAAACAATTTTTGCGTCATATCTCCGCTGATGAGGGCTTTGGCGAACTCAGCCGTAGAAAGGTGAGCGCCGACTCCAAGCGGTATGGCTTGAGTTGCCATCTGGCTCGAAAGCGCTGATACCCTTTTTGGCGTCGCCGACACGGGTTCGGATGTATTCATGTATTGGTAAACAGCACTTATGTAACCGGCCACTATAGTAGTGAAATGTGACTGAACGCCAGCTTCCTCGGGAAGATACTCGCTCAAATTCCAATTCATAACAACTTCAGGCTTGGGAGGAAAAATAAAAATTAATCCACAATGAAATTTTTATTTTATTAAGTCGTTCAGGATGGTGAACGTGATGTCACAATCTTTCTTCCCTCAGTGAGGCACGAAGAGCCTGCCATCACGCTCAGACATGCTATATCACGCTCTAGTCCAGTGATTCCCAAACTTTTTTGACCCCCTTTTTACAGTCAAAAATTGCCCACGAACCCCCAAGTGAAAAAGCTACATAAATGCATAATATAAAAATTACAAAAAAAAGTTTTGTTGAAGAAGTATTTTTGAAATTATAAATATATATAAATTATAATATTAATTACTTTTGAAAATAGATTATCGACCTGCTGGATACAAGAAGTTCTTTTCAGAGGAATCTTCGGAAGAGGTAAACCTTAGAGTACCTCTTCCGAAGATTCCTCTGAAAAGAACTTCTTATTAATTACTTTTGTTTAAAATAAAATATAAAAAAATTAATGACTTGGATGAATGTGATGAGATGTTATGAGTGTATAATTTCTAATCGGTTTCTTTCTTTTGTGATGAGGTTCATAACGGCACTGAATCCACGTTCTACCTAATAGGAAGACGGGAAAGAAGTCAACAACTTCTATACAATAACTCATAATGCAGGATATAAAATTGGGATCAGTTTTTGTAACCAGAATTTGTGGTATCCTCGTAAAAACATTGGTTTAAGTTCCTCATTTGTGGATATTTCAATAAGCTGCTCCTGTATTAGTATGGATTCATCTGTGTTTGGGATCTGAGTTTGTCCACGTGCAAAAGGGTTCAGTCGGGAAGTGAAGAATGTCTTCAAATCTTTGGTTCTGGTCTGTATGATGAGCCGTTAAGTGTTGACAGTGGGGGGCAGCGGTAGCCGAGTGGTTAAGGCGTCAGACTCTCGGCTAGTAGATCCCGCGGTCGTGGGTTTGATCCCCACCGTCGCCTCTGGACTTTTCTGATGCCTAAGGGGACCGGTGGCTGAAAATTGAAAGAAATTGACATGGCACTCATCAATGGAAGGAGCCGGATCGGATCTCAGCGACCCTGAATTTGGTCCCAACCCCCTTCAAAAATGAGTTTCTTCGATGGAAGAACACCGGTACAACGGGGGCTCAAGTTCACGTTTGTGTTGCGAGCCCTCCCCCAAAATATGGAGCCAGGGATAAAGTACAATAAGCTGTACAGCTCAGCTGCAGTGCTCAGGAGGGAACTCCTCCAGTCCCTGGTATCCANTGAATAATTATTTTATATTATTATTTATATTATATTATTTTATATTAAACCTTGCGCAGACCCCCTGACGTTCAGAGACCCCCAAATCAATTTTAATTTTTCACAGACCCCCCGAATGATACCGGGCACCCCTGGGGGTCCGTAGGGACCACTTTGGGAACCACTGCTCTAGTCTCTTCATTTTTAGAATGAAGTTCAAAGAAGCAGTGTGTTGCTTATTGTGTGTAAACATTGTTTAATTAGCCGATTTCCTCTCCTCATTATTCCTAAGGTTCTAAGGAGCCGGATGGCATTTCAGTAGTGGGCTGGTTAGAAGTTATAAGTGTTAGATCTAAAATATTACATTAGTGGACCACTTTCTCTTATAAGCAAAAAATAAATAAACAAAAGTGACGCTTGTCTTACACACTGCTTCAAGATTAGAAAGAAATAAAAAGAGAAAAAGGAAAAGTAAAATGTGATGAGGGTTAATAAAAATCAAGTTATTCGGATGAAAAATAAGGATATGAGGGCCTATGCAACCTAGGAGTTTCCTTCTTTTTCTTCCTCGTGTCCAGCCTTCTTGGACATGATGGTGGGTGAATTCTTGTTCCTTCATTACTACTGGATTCTTGTGAAGTATAAATGCGGGGCTGGAGTAATATAACATGAAGAAACATTTGAAAAAAAAAAAAAAAAAGCCCTGCAATTTTAAGCGAGCAGGCAAATAATGGTACAATGCAGATTTTTATTTTCCCAGGCGATCGGCTCATACCTGTTGAACGGACCATGGTAATTTTTAAAATTCATTGACAATCAAACAAACAGTGTTATGCTTTCTAAATTTCCCAGTCTTACTAGTGCAAAAAATAATAACTTAAACAGCATAATGTCTCTATGAACTTAAGGATAGGTTTTTGAATCTAAAAGTGAAGAGAAAAGAGCGCAATATCACACTCTCAATACCTGGGTAGAGGTAAGGATGAGCACAATTTCACGCTGACCATCCTGAATGGATTATACTTACTCCATCTGACTCTGAATAATCTTCTGTCAAGGACATCATCGTGTCGTCAGTCATCTCTAAACGCATCGTTTGCTCTTTTCCTTCTCCTACGTCTCCAAGGCCTTCTGGTAATTTGCCTTTTACCCCGCCATGATTTGACTTGAAAAACAAAGCAAATTTTTAAAAATCTTTCAATTAATTATGGTTTTTAGTTTAGATAAAAAATTGAGATTGAAAACTTCAATTAATTGGTCAATCGGACCATGAAAATTAGTGAATTTAATAAGTAAAAATGAAGTATACTTTCAATAAAGCTCTCCGTGGCCATTTCATTTTCGCCGAGAATCAAATAGATTACACGACATTTGAAAAATGGCAAAAAAAAGGAGCTAAAATTCAAAAGGTGTGGTTGAGATGGGAAGTTAGTTTTCAAGTGGATCGAAGTCACGATAGCTCAAGTGGTAGAGCAGCGGCGTATTTAACCAAAAGTCGTGGGTTCGAATCCCGCCCGTGACACTGACTTTTTTAGAAATGATAAATGATGGATTCAATCCTTCTCAAAAAGACAGTTCCTACTCACAGTAAGTTGTTTTGCAACAATCCATAATTTCCAATGTAAAATTTATATTACAGTGTAGAGAATTATTAGTTGGAGGAATTCTTTGAGATCCTCTAATGTTCCTGACCGTATGCATAAAATATCTTCTGCATAGCGTTTCCAGAAATGAACTGATTTAATTAATTTGTTCTTTGATTTGAAAAGATAAAAAATGGTAGCAGTGTTGCGTAGTTTCAGCAAAGGGAAAGAACTAGATTGGTTTGAGAAATTTGAAATTAAAAAATGTAAAATTGAACATGGTGATAAATGCATTAATAATATAACAGATTTTGATCTACCTCCCATTTTAAATATGTACATAAATAATAGCAAACGTCCAAATAATTAAATTAATTATTTTAATTGTTATTATTTTTATAGTAATTTAATAATATTAAGCATTTACTATTATATTGGGTTGTCCGGAAAATAATGCAGGATTTTGGTATTAAACAAAAAAAAAGAAACTAGTTACTTTAAAGCAATGTTCTTTAATCAAAATAATTTCCCATACTCTCAATACATTTCTCCCAACGTGTTGGTAACTTATTAATTCCGTCTGAGTAGAATTCAGAATTTTTAGAATTGATAAAGTCAATAAATGCATTTTCCAGTTCCGTTTGATTTTTGAATATTATGTGTTGTAAGTAGTGGTCCAGGTGTCTAAAAAAATGGTAGTCAGTAGGCGAGAGGTCCGGAGAGTAGGGTGGGTGAGGCAAAGTTTCATAGCCAAGCTCCAATAATTTTTGTGACGTTACACGTGACACATGTGGTCGAGCGTTGTCATGCAACAAAATGGGCCCTTTCCGATTGACCAAAGAGGGCTTCATTACTGCCAATTTCTGATGCATGGTATTAATTTGGTTACAGTATGATTCAGCATTGATGGTTTCGCCAGGATTTAAGAAGCTGTAGTGTATTAAACCAAATGAAGCCCACCATACCGTAACCATTACCTTTTTTTGATGAGTTGGGGGCTTTGGAAAATGTATTGGAGCTTCTCCTTTGTCGAGCCACTGTCCAGAACGTCTAGTGTTATCGTAGAGAATCCACTTTTCGTCACATGTAACAATTCTGGCCAGAAATGGGTCATTTTTGTTTCGACAAAGAAGTGATGCACAAACATCAAAGCGCTGATTTTTTTGGCGATCGTTTAATGAGTGTGGAACCCAATTTTCGAGTTTTTTCACTTTTCCAATCGCCTTGAGGTGGTCAGCGACGGTCGTTTTACTGACTTTGAGTTGCTCTGCAAGTTCTCGAACAGTTGTTTTGGGGTTTTCTTCCACCACTGATCGCAGAACATCATCATTAAGAGAGGAAGGCCTTCCACGACCTTCTTCATCTTCAAGGCTGAAATCTCCCTCCCGAAATTTTTTAAACCACCTTTGCACAGTGCACTCATTAACACAACCCTCGCCCCAGACTTGGTTAATGTTTCTAGCCGTTTGGGCTCCGCTTCGGCCGAGTTTAAACTCGTAAAAGAAAATCGTACGAAATTCTCGCTTTGACATTATAAGGATGACTGAATTATTTCCAAGTAGCGGAATGCTACAGAGGTAAACAAACAATATCATTTGGAAGAGGATTAATAAGTGTTGACATTCATACAAATGAGTAATCCTGTAAACGTAAACAGAATATTTTATATAGATTTTTTTTAATGAAAACTTAAAATCCTGCATTATTTTCCGGACAACCCAATAATATTTATTTGTGTTATAACTTCCGCGTTTTGTACGTTCAAATTGAGCGCCATTAAAAAAATCAGCTGCTAATTGGAACGTGGTTGTAAAAGTCCTTCAATCTGATGATGAGCTAAAGGGCTCAAAATCCGGATCTTTGCAAAACAACTTACTGTGAGTAGGGACTGTCTTTTTGAGAAGGACTGACTTTTTTATCTCAAATAAAAACCTTAATTAATTGAAAGATATTAATTGGTCAAGCAGACCATGAAAACTAGTGAATTTTTAAAAATATTTTATATAAAACAAATAAAATATTTTTTTGTTTTTAACTTACAGGATCGAGCCAAATTAAATACTCCCAACATTGGCTGTAAGTCATTTGAATGCTGTGAAAGAGTTCCTTGTTCCTTATGCTGCTAACAACAAACTCGACATAGCCTATGGCATCCTCGACTGTCCTTTTCTTAGTGCAAATTATAATTTTGTTGAAATTGGCAAACACAATTATTGAACCGAGCCTTTTAAATTCAGCAACCAGCTAAAACATTTTAATATGCAGTTAAAACTTGTTTTTTCCAGCAATATTAAAGCATTTATCACTAGAATTATTTGTGTGTGCATGGTGTTTGCAAATATGTGAATTCTTTACAATTTCTGATACCTGCATAAATAATTTTTTCATCAAATTATGAAGAGTCCTTCTCAAGGCTGGATCATAAAGTAAAGCATTTGGTGAACGTAGCCATCTTCAAAGATTAAAATAAATATATTAATTAAATAATAAACAAATATATTATCGTTTATTTGAGAATGTCCTGATAGCAATACCTGTAGAAGTGGACAATTTGGAAGTCAGCGAAAATATTTTTGTGCATGGAAACATCCCTGAGCCAAGAGTTGACCATAAACCTGAGTATTTTGAACGCCCCGGAGCATTGGGCTGTTTCGTCGTAGGACGTCTGTGGCATCTGGCCCTCGACCATTTCCTGCAATGAAGCTTGCGGTATTGTATCAAAACCGATGCTCGAAGACACCCCCTCAATATCATGGACGTGGTGTGATTGAAGCAAAGTATTAACGGCCAAACTGTCAATATCAAGTTCGACGCAAACGGAAGTGTATGAACCAGGCGTGTTGGTGACTGTGCTAGTACTTTCCTCAAAATCTGTCAGTAGTCTGCAAACAAATGAACTCAGAGTTACAGGTTTACGTAATCTGTGTTTCAAAGAAACGTTTTATCTCAATGTATATTTAGCTTTTTACATGACTAGAATCCCTTTGACTTTGTTTCATTTATTGTTTATCTTTTAAAGTTATTTATTTTACACGAAATTTTTACAATTAATTTGTCTTATTTAAATTTGTTAGCCTTAGTAAATATTTCTTTATAGTTTTTTAAATAAAAATATATATTATTTATTTACTTTTATTGATATGTTATGGCTATGACATAAGTAGTAGTTTTGTTTTTTCTTCACAAAATGCAAAAATTGACTTGAAAAAATTAATGATAGACGTCGAGCTCTGTGGGATATGAAGATCGCACAATACCACGATCACATACTCAGTAAGCAGAGCTGGGAAGAAATTTGCATCCTGCTTGGAAAGGAAGGAATGACAACAGAGAAGAATGAGTTTGGTAAATTTATATTATGCAGTAAAGTCTATTATTTTTGTTTTAATTATACAATATCTATCATGTTAAATGGTATATTTACTTATTAGTTAGACACTAGCAAGTACTACAAAAGTTGGCACAAAATTAAATATTTGTTGTAAAAAAAATTGGCGTAGATAGTGCTCTAGAATTTCCTCGAGTGGTGCTGTCGGTGGAAATTGGTTGCCATTGGTAATCATTTTTACCTTTGTTGTGATGTTTGGATTCCATATCTTGTTTTAACAAAATTATATAGTTCACATGCGGCATTGACAATCATTTCAGCCAAATCAACATCAATGGTAAACGAAAGATGCGCCACTTGTTTGACAGGATCTCAAATGCACTTTCAATTTATCTTCTGGCTGGGGATAATCATTTGTTGAAGTTTTGTTCACGTTAAATGGGGGAAAAAAATTATAAATCAAGTTATCTAATGGGTCTAGTTAATAAAATGCCAAGAAAAGGTTACAATACTTAATTTCACTTTATCTTTTGAATGATATAAAAATAAACTAATCTTTTTTCAGTACTGATTCGATAAAGATCGAAGATAGTTTGACTGCTCAACAAAATACTTTCCTCTAGAGCGACGATAAATATTTACGAATTTGCCACAAAGTTTGCTATCTGACGAACAAGCTGAAGAACTATCCTTTCCGAGCATGTATCACAGTAAATTCAAGGACGGGCTGAGTGTGACACTGTTTATTATGGTATTCAGACTTTTTTTTTAAGAAATGAATTTAATTTAAAAATAAACAATTATACCAACGTCTAAACTGCTAAATCAGGAAGCAGCATGATGACATATTTGGTAGAGACCTTGAGAAATTAGGATCAAGAACTTTCATATCATATTTTAGTTACCATAAACACTATAGTCTCTTTTGTAGAATAAGATGAATCATTAATGATTATAAATTACAATTTGAATACTGATTTCAAACCAAACATGTTCTTAAATGTGGACTTTCATCAGGAAGTTTCACTTGTGTAGTGTGTAGTGTGAGATTTTTTTTTTTTTTTTCGTTAACACAGTCATCATTGTTAACTGTTAGGAAAAGATGTCAATTTATTAGTTTGTTTATTGATAAAGGTGGGAATTCTTTTTGTATAATTGAAGAGTATTTTATTTTCTTTATTTTTAATTGATTACAAAACCAGCTCTGTGTGTACAAGAGTTCAGGGTGAGTCAGAGTGGAGGAACAATTTATGGAATTTTTTAAAAATTTTTTTTTTTGCCTCACTGGGTGATGGGCATACTGTTGTAGGCTGTGTTTAGGACCTAACTACTTCATTAATGCCCAATTCTCCAGGCTGGATTTTGTGGCAGACAGGGAAGGAAAAGGTTCTACCCATTGGGGGTCCACAGCAAACTTTAAAAAAAATTAATAATTACAAAAATAAATGTAGAATGAATAAATAAAATTAAAAATACTAATAACAATGAGTAATGAAAACGAAAGTTTTTTTATTTTGCAGCAGCAGTCATTGCGTTCTCCACAGACATACTTTACCTATGAAATAAATGCCTTCAAGTGGTTTTTATAATAATTTTTCACCATTGTTCTTTATTTCTTATTATGCCAAATTAGCAAAAATTGTAAATATATTTAAGACCTCTGCCACAAGGATATTATAATGTGCCAGACATTTCCCCTTTTATTTAACTTTTTTACAAAATTTATGTAAAATTATCTATTAAATAAATAACAATACAATACAATACAAATACATGCCAGCCTCTTTTAAGGAAGTTTTAGATGAGTCTGTGTCACAGCCATTTAAGTCAAGGCTTTTCACAATTCTATGATGAAGATGATATGGTTAGTCTCCATTATTCCCTGATTGGCCATACAGAAATGAGGAGGCTGACTCGTGGAAAAGCACTTTCACGATTATGCAATTACATTCTAAGTAAGAAAGTGGGAAGTTAGTGCCTGAGTGGATCGAAGTCACGATAGCTCAAGTGGTAGAGTAGCAGCGTATCAAGCCAAAGGTCGTGGGTTCGAATCCCGCTCGTGACACTGACTTTTTTATCTCAACTAAAAACCTTAATTAATTGAATATTATTAATACAATGAAATGTTACATGCCTGTTATCGTCAGCTTCTCGACCGCCGAGATCTGGCCTGTCACTGTCAGAACACCAAAGTACAAAGTTGTTTTTCAAGAGATGCCTTGCGAAAAATAAATCAGAGGCAAAGAGCGTAGCATCTTGCGGGACGTTGCCTAAAGGCAGGTGAAAATACCGGCACTGTTCTGTCTGCAGTGCGATTGCTGCTTCACAGTTCAAGTAGTGCTTTATCATCAGCTTTGAACCAACCCTTTGCCAATCTAAACTCGACAAGCTGGATTCACGATCTTGCACGTAAATTGGAATCGTTGGCCAATCGTTCAACACCGGGAGAAGATTTGACAACTGGTGAATATCTGTAAAGTACAGCCATTATTTTTTATGGTTTGACGCATATAGAATATCAATCTAAATAGTTTAAAGTTAAGTAATAAAACCAAATTAACAGTGATTGTGGTCGAATAATAATTTTTTATTTTGTTTATTTTATACCTCTTTGTGTCTGCACAGCTAATACTGTTGGTCCTTTTTTCTCGTCCCTATAAATATGAAGAGCGACTTGAATTTGCCTGAATGCCAGTTTCAAGTCTGTCTCAAACTTCACTTCAAATTTAATCTCTTTTGGGGGTAACGATTCATCACCCTTGTCCAATCTACAAAACCAGTGGTCAATACATATTTTAAAAATTATAATTTATTTTTATTAAACCTGGCCTTCCTTTCAGCTAAGTAGGCCTGTGTTAAATTAGGCATTTGGTTTGTTTTAACTGAATCGACAATTACTACAACGGCTCGCTTTGAAGGTGTTACAAACAGTGCAACAATCGCTTTCGAACTAGTAGGCGCTTTATTGTAATATAAGAAGAGGCGTTTCAAATTAATTTCACTCTACAATCACACAAATATTTTATAAAATGAATTAAAAAAGCAAAAATTTCATTTGTTCTTACCTCCTCCAAATACGGCTGATGTGCTATGGTTTTAAACACAAGATGATTAAGCATAAAGGTGTTGTTTTCTGTAAGAGCATTTGCTAACCTCTGTTTTTCATTTTTATCAACAGCACAGACACATCCAAGTTTTAAAAGCGCTCGAAATAAAATAGAGACTTTAGTTTCATATATGCCTTCAACATCTGAGGTTGATAAGTCCGCAATCAAATCACTAAAATAAGTGTATAAATAAATATAAAGTACTTAAATTATCGAAACTATAAATATGGATATCAACGATTACAAAAGCATGCAAACTTAATATTAACTTTTCTCTATTTAATTATTTAATATAATGACAGGTTTTATTATCTGTAAGCCAGTCTTCGTCTTAATATGAATTGGAAAAAATGAATTGAAAATAATTGTAAAGAATTTTGGAGATAAATGTGATTATTCACCATTAATGAATATTTCCAAAAAACATGAGGGTGTAGAAATAAGACAAGCAAATAACCCCTATATAAATTCAGGGCGATTCATTTTTCAATACACCATAGGAAAAACAGTGTTGGTGCGTAAAAATATGAATCGCATATTCCGACATGGATGGCAAAACAAATAGTAAGCTATGCTAATAAAAATTATTTTCTTAAAGCACTTCTCACTGCATTTTGGAAGTACTTTCCACCAGAAAAAATAATGACATAATATAAAATTAAGTTGAAATAGCTGACAGAAAACCGTATTTAAAAAAAAAAAAAACTTCTAGATTCAAACAAGAGTAACATATAAAATATTCTTTTATTAAAGTACTTCTCACTGCATTTTTGGAAGTACTTTCCACCAGAAAAAATAATGACATAATATAAAATTAAGTTGAAATAAATGACAGAAAACCGTATTTTAAAAAAAAAAACTTCTAGATTCAAACGAAAGTAACACATAAAATATTCTTTTATTAAAGCACTTCTCACTGCATTTTTGGAAGAACTTTCCACCAGAAAAAATAATGACATAATAAAAATTAAGTTAAAATAGCTAACAGACAACTGTATTTAAAAAAAAAACTTCTAGATTCAAACGAAAGTAACACATAAAANCGAAACTAGTGAATTACATAAAATATTCTTTTATTAAAGCACTTCTCACTGCATTTTTGGAAGTACTTTCTACCAGAAAAAATAATGACATAATATAAAATTAAGTTGAAATAGCTGACAGAAAACCGTATTTAAAAAAAAAAAAAAACTTCTAGATTCAAACAAGAGTAACATATAAAATATTCTTTTATTAAAGCACTTCTCACTGCATTTTTGGAAGTACTTTCCACCAGAAAAAATAATGACATAATAAAAATTAAGTTGAAATAGCTGAGAGAAAAACATCTGTCGTATTAAACAATGTCCTCAGATCCTTTTATGACCGATTGGGGCAATGCAAATTAGCAATGGGAGTAATTTTGAATTTTAGTAAATTTGAACACTCATATGAGTAAATATGTTACTTTCATTTGAATGTAGTTTTTTTTTTTTTTTAATAACTAGTTCTTAGTTTATTATTTGTTAATTAGAGTTCGTGAGATGCTATGAGATGTTTTTGTTGAAATGCAGGCAAAACAAGGCCCTGAAGATGATCCCAATAAAGATCGAAACGTTGGCATGATAAAAAAAATGTTTTCCTAAACCTACATCACCCAAGACCGCATCTCACAATCTCTAAATGATCATTAATTAACAGCCATTATTTGTTTTGCCTATGAAGTATGATGGTGGTGGTGCAATGAAAAGTGCATCATGCATAAATGGTTGAATGGATCCAAAGGGAAAAGTACGAGGGTTTAACAGTTTTAATTTTACAAGAAACAAACTGGGTATTTAACAGCATAAATTTTATTTTATGGAATCTCATTGCTCTTTCTCTCTCTTTGGAGGGGGGAGAGAGGACTCCTCAATATTTTTCTTATAAACCCTTCATGTCTGTTTATCTTTTAAAAAAACTTAAAACCTGAGTATGTACTTGTATTGTAAAATGCATACTTGCTATGTTCCTGATATATTTCTTCAGGTACCGAATATTCATACAGGAAGTAACTCGGTCTTGAGCGTGGCAAGGACCGGTTGCATTTTTTGAAAAAAACTCCTGGCACTTCTTCTTTGGCCATGCGATGGTTCACATAAAACGTTCTAGGAACGATTAATCGCACTTGATGTAGCTCGTTTCCAACTAAGGCCCACACTTTTAAAACGCCGGGTGAATTGGTTTCCATGATCTACACAAATAGAACTTACGTTTGTTAAGAGTGTATTTTGAAAATTTAAACAATATCAATTACCTGGATAATTTGCCATGGTGTGTTCAATAAAGATCTTTGGGCTTTTTGTAAAAACCCTCCGAGAGAAGACGATCTGATATTATGCATAGCCAACCTCTTTTCACTAACACAAGTTGAGGAATTTTTCGTCCTGCCTTCTTGTGACTGTCTCGCTTCCTTTTGCCAAGCCCATTTCTTTTTTTGAAACTTCAACCACTCGAGCCTTTCAATCTGAATTGAAGAAAACCTCTCCGTTTACACTTATAGAACTTTAATAAATAACATGAAACTTATTTACTTTTGTGGTCCCAAATGGTGGAGGAGAACCCAAAGCTTCCTTCCAGGTTTTGTACACTACTGCCTTTTCAGGTGTTGGATCACGTTTCCGTTTATTGGTGTGAACTATGGGCCTTCCTAACTTTGGACTAGTATCATTTCCAATATCCTCAATATCAACAATTTCTGTATTTTCAATCTAAAAATATAGTCTAGCATCAACCAGATGAATAAATTGTCATCATTATATAATCACAGCTTCTTTTGATACATATAAATAATTCAGAAAGCAGAGCAGTGGAGGCTATTTGGCTACCAGACCAGGTTTAACAGCAAGTGGCATCCAACTGGATATAGGACCATCCTAAGGCAAATGACGCAAGCAAATGTTCCATGAAGCATTGAAAATGATGGCCAATTGCAATAAATTTCTGTTGATAGTTCCCAAAGAGAAATTATGAGAGAACAATCTACAAGAAATAAATTTGCCTATTTTTTTTGTAACAATTTAACACTCTTTCTATTAATTATTCAGAAATCGTGAGATGCGGTCTGGTGTGATGTAGGTTTCAGAAAAACATTTTCTTTATCGTGCCAACGTTTCGATCTTTATTGAGATCATCTTCAGGGATTTATAAACATTGTTTACATTTAACAAATACATTTAGGATGTGGAAAAGTGAATTTTTATACAATGCAAAAAAATATATTTTATATTCAAAGTATTTCTACTCACTCAAATGTTGTTTTTCTGTGTAATTGTGCCATTCTTGCGTGTCGTGTTGTGAGTGCCAGTGAGATTTTGCTGTTTTATGTTTATATACATTGGATTTTGAAGGGGTGGGGAAGGAAGTCGGTATAGAAAAGACATTTTTGTATAAGGAGTTGGCTTCTTTGAGGTGAAAAGAGCCGACGAAGGGAAACAATGTGTGAGTTTACATGTATCTGTTCTGTAATTGATGCTGTGTTTATCTCTGTTGATATAAACCATTTCTAAGACATTACGTTTATGTTTGTTTTGTTCTGTATGTAATATTTTTGGATTTTTGAAGTCGAAATTGTGTTGGCGTTCAAAATGGTGGGTAGCGAGTGCTGTAGGATTGTCCAGATATTGGGATGTAAGACCGATGTAAGTTGCCAGACAGTTTAAACAGTTGATTTTGTAGATTACGTCAGATTTATTTGTTATTGGTGTGGGATCTTTAATTTTGTAAAAAAGTGTTAGGATTGTTTTATAATTTTTGAAAGCTATTTTGAAGTTATCGGACGAGAGAAATGTGTTTAATTTATGTGATAGGCCTTGAATAAATAGCATGGAAATATGTATGCTGGTTTGTTTGTATTTGATAGACTTAATGTAGTATTATTAGTAATAGTGGATGGTGTTAGTGTTAAGTTGTAGTTGTTGATTAAATATAAAAAATATATTTTGCATTGTATAAATTCACTTTTCCACATCCTAAATGTATTTGTTAAATGTAAACAATTTTTGTAAATCCCAGGCCCTGAAGATGATCTCAATAAAGATCGAAACGTTGGCAAGATAAAGAAAATAAAAGTTGGGCGCCAGTCGTCCTTTTGTTGTCCAAGGGAAACAAAGGAGGAAGCGACAAAATTAATAAAAATGTAATGCGGTTCGGATGGCTATGAGCTTGTTTGAGGGAGGAAAGGGGAATAATATATATGAAAAAAATATAGACAAAGAAACAGGGGAAGAAAGAGTGCTGGAACTAAATTTAAATAAAGAAAGAAAAAGGGTAAGGAAAAAGAAGAGAGAAAGAGAGGAGAAAAAGGAAAAAAATATATGGCCGTAGGTTTGGGAGACAGCACCTCTATCTACACTGCTACTGAGGACTGTTGGTCGGTTTCCTTCCATTGGTCTTGAAGTAGTAGTAATCTTTAAAAATTATTCAAAATACATGACACTAATAATAAAGGTAAAATAGACAACTAACAAATCTCTTCATACAATTTATTTAAAAACAAAAAAAAACTTTTTTCCTTATAAGAACGATAAACTAAAAGAAATTAAGCCCGAAGACTTCAAGTCAGGCCTGACTACCAACACACACACATTTAGCTGTGGATGATGTATTTTCTTCCTTTTCTTTTCCCAAGGAAAAATCTCCAGCGAGCTTGATTCTGTCCGTGTCCCCACGCCAACCTGACCAAACTCATCTCTCTCCTCTCGACTCCTTTTCCTCGCGGCCTGTCAGCTCCAATCCCAACAACAAAACTCCGACTATTTTAGCATTTTTTTTTTTGTGTATGAAAAAAGGGTAACATCATATCCTACAAAGCAAGCTTTTTAACCTTGCGTCAACTTTTCCGCTATTATCGTTTTCGTTTTGGAACACAATAAAATAGACGAAAAACAAGTAGAGGTATGAATCACTCAAAGAAACACTAGATGTGTCAGAGCTGACTGAATACAACACAACTACTGAACAGACTTTTAAAAACCTTTTTCAACTTTTCCGCTATTATCGTTTTCGTTTTGGAACTCAATAAAACAGACTAAAAACAAGTAGAGGTATGAATCACTCAAAGAAACACTAGATGTGTCAGAGCTGACTGAATACAACACAACTACTGAACAGACTTTTAAAAACCGACTCGTAGGGTCGTCCTGACCACTGCCTGACTTTTTCAAAACCGACAACCAATAATGCTACAACTCCCTTGGCTTTTCTGTCAATAAACACTTGGTCAAAACTGCTGCATGGGTCATTACCATAAGAAACACCAAGTGTGGCAGCTAACAGGCTCTGATAGTGTTAAATGAATTTTTAGTTTTAAACAATTACCTCAGTTTCTGTATTGTCCTGTTTTGGTGGAAGTTTTACAAACAGTTCATTAATTTTTCTTTGCTTTAAAGTATCGGTTTTTCCTAACATTTTCTTGTGAAGCCATTCGGGATGTCTTACTCTTGGAACTGGATTAGACAACTGTTAACAAAAAAAAAAAAACTATTAAATTTGCCTGACACTTTGACGCAGGCAAACTTGCCCCTTGCATAGCGGCTGGAATCGTGATGATTTTTTGAATCGCCCCGCCCAACCTTTCAATATAATAATCCCAATCAAGTATATGTCTTATATCAAAATCAGTTATTGAATTATCTTTGAGCCATTTACGTAAATGGTGTCTTTTTACAGCTTCTTCCGCTTGAAAAATTGCTAAAGGTATCGCCCTGAGGAAATAAATTATTTATTTTATAATTTTGTCAGAGAATTATTAATATAATAAACCTTTCAGTAACAGGAGAGCCTTCTGGTTTTCTCGCGATGACATATTTACAAGCAAGGCCAGCATCTTTGACCATTTGGTCGCCGAGAAATTCAGCCAACCTTTTGGCCGTGCTTATCGAAGTTGATTTCTGTTTCCCGTAATCTTCAAGCTTCCTGCTCATGGACTTATTCTCAGTGATGAGTTCAAACAGTTCAGAATCTGGCATATTGCAAGCCTAAAGTGTTTTAATTCCCATTTAATTTTTTTTTATGAAGTCATAAAAATAAAAATGATAACTATACCTTACTGTACAGAACATCCAACCAATAATTTGCGACTTTGGCAACTGATTCATAACACTTTTCTAAAGTGTTTCCTTTTAAAAATGCTTCAAAAACAGAAGACTGGAAAATTTTAATTAACTGTAATTCTCCTCGTCTTTTAACTTCAAATCTACAATAAATAATACAAATTTTTTTTTGCGTTATGATCTATGCCATGGTGACGTATTCTTATATGTGTGTTCAAATTGGGGGGGGGGGTTATTGTGAAAAAAGGGCCAGAGGCGACGGTGGGAATCGAACCCACGACCACGGCGTGAGAGTCTCTCATGCTAACCACTCAGCTACCGTGGTCCCCCAACACTTAATGTTTATATAAATCAGAAAACATGATCATATTAACACAATTAATTCACTTATTATTTTAATACTTAGTATAAATGTGATTATTTTTTAATAATATTTGCCCTGGTTTTGCCTGTGTAAACCTGTGTACCAGCATTTTGTCATTGTTGGTCTGAATTGACCTTTCCAAAAATTTTTAGTAGGTAAGCTTAATATTGCTAACTAATACAAAACAATCATAAATAAATATAAAAAAATTATTACCCTTTCAACTCTGCTAAACTGCCATCAAAATTAAAAACGGCATAACGCTTCTTAAGTCTTTTCCCTTCTTCTTTGGATGCTGGTAAAACCATGGCCAGATACGGTCCATCAACTTCAAAAAATACAGAGTTTTCACTTCTCATTTCGTATTTTATATTTTCTTTGTCCACAAGCTCATGGTAAACGTGGTTTGTGAAGTGTTCCTAAAGTGTTACACATTTAAAAAATAAGATTTACAATGAAAAATAAAAAGTCTACTCTTACTTTGACCATTGAGTTTAAAACAGCGTTAGGATAAGAGATTGTCACTTTTGACTTGCCAGGCTTGGTCGAACAGACGGTGTAATTTTCGGGAAAAGACGCTGGCAACACACACCAAATACCGTCCGTGTCGAGCTCCAAAGGTCGTCCGACCTGTTCTATTATTTCCCTGGCCTTTGTGATTATGTTGGCCCCGGTATAGCATACAATGCCGGCCATTTCCATGCTGTGCCACCTGGCTCCTCTCCTCATGACGTAACCGTAAAATGAATTCAAAATACATTTATGCGCAAGTTGCAAGGAGTCATAAAGGATCTCTCGATTTTTCGCAGACTTAATTTCACCGGCATCTCCTTTAGAAATAGCATCTGACACTTGTTTTTTGGCCACCTAGAACAAAAAAATCATCACATCATATTTTGCACATAAATATCTTGTAATTAATAATGTGCAATTAAAGTAAAAATGTATAAATTTTTGTTTTTAGCCAGTGTAAAATACTTCTTGAAATATAACTGGGTGTTGCAAAACATAAAACACTGATATTTGTAAGTGATCTTAATACATTTGTTGAAGTGGAACAAAAATTATTCCTTACTTTACACAACCCTTTGTATTCATATCGCCTATCTCGAAAAGCTCGTACAGTGTCGACATAAAAGGAATTCTCTTTTTGGCAAACTGTTGTCGTCCTTTCTTCCAGCCTTGTCACTTTGGTCTTTTTATAAGCTTTACGGCAATAGTCCGTCAGACGCTTTTTCTCAGCCGCTGCCTGTTCTTCTTTTGAAAGATTGTGAAACGCGCGGGGCGCCCCGCCTGGGAATTCCGGGGGGAACTTTTCAATTTCCAATTGCTGCTGAATCCGATGAAATTCACTTTTACTTGCTGGCACTAAAACAAGCGAAAAGAGGTTTTTACAAAAATATATAAATCATTGTATAAAACGTACTTATATCTCCTCTCCACATCCAAGCCATGGTCCTTTGGCAAAGAGCGCCAGGTTTGTTGAAATCACAAGCAGCACATATCATCTCATTGACCATCGCAGAAGGCTGGAGCCGATTTGTTAAAATTATATTTGGGTACATAGCACCTGAAATTGTTTTTTTTTTTTTTTTCTTTTACTGTCACTTATTAAAGAAAAATACAAAGTAGAAGTATTACTTTTTAAATCATAAAATTTCTCTGTGTGATTGGCGAGGTAATGAACTTGCAATTTGGTCATTACTGATTATTTTAGTCTATTTATCCCTGGTTGGTCTGTCATACCTATTTCAACATCTTCATTCCATTTTTTTTTTTTATTACTTTTTTTAACAACACTGAAGATGGTGTAATGCTCCAACAAGTCTGACAGACTAACCCAGCGAAATAATTAGTAACGACCAAATTGCATCATCCTGAAGACCCCACGAAGAAATCTCACAAGTAACAAATAAGTCACTAAAAATTGTATAAGATGTATGCTTTGTTACTTATAAAATTGGAAAACTTTTATTACAAATGAATGTTTTAAATTAATTTACATGACAGAAAAATATGTATAGTAACTCTTAACATATTGATTTTGTAAGATGCAAGGTCACAATTATACTTTTTAAACTCTCCCTCCATTTCACCAGCTGTAAAGTTCCATTCAAAATTCAAAGAGCCGCTTCAGAAAGGGCAAAAGTGTCACTGGCTACAATGATTTAATTTTTGAAGTGAAAACTTCTTTAGGCGCGCTCAGCACTTTTTTTGTGAGTTTTGAATGAGACTGAGCCGTCACGCTCGAAGATGTAACGCTCATTCAGGTAGAATCGGCTCGAGTCGACTAAGCATGAGAGAGACAGTCAGTAGAGCGAGAGAGAGAAATAGAGTCAAAGCGTCACCGCTGTATACGCGCTCGGCCGAACTCGGTACTGAATCCGGACTAACACGAATGAGCGTTACATGAGGGAGCATGACGAAGCAGTCGCTTTCAGTATCGACGCTAACTCCAGTGCGCTTTACCAGTATGTTTCTGAAGCGAAAAGTTTTTCAAAATAATTATTGAAAATAATTATTGAGAATAATTAATTATTCTATGATTGTAATTCATCATAATAATTTATCATAATACACGTGTAAGAACATATGTTAATATGACAGAATTTGTCATGTATTTATAAGACATTATATCTATCGTCATTAAAAATGTATGTCATTAGACAACATTAAAAGTTGGGTGTGTGGTCTAGAGCACACGGTGGAAGTGAAAACTTAAATTAGTGTAAATTAACAAACAAAATACAATTTTTGTTCTTTATTTTGTATAATCACAATGTAATTACGTTGAAAATGTTTACAATTATGATTGTGTAGGAATTTGATTGTGCTCTGACTGATTGTCGTTGGTATCAGACTCTAGAAACGAAACTATTGGTTTATGGTAACTTAAATATGAGACAAATACTTTTGATTAAAATGAATTTCCTAACTATCTCACAAAAACTCCGTCAATCATTGTTCCATATTTCGTTGTACTTTCATTTGAATCATTGGACATATTAAGATCTAATTTTGTTTTCAAAAAATCCACTAGAGGCTTTGATGTATCTTTGGAGAAGTCAACATTGAAATCTCCACTCATAATCATTGGTAATGTATGGAAATGTTCTTCGAGAAGATCAGATCCTTCTTTGGTGTAGATAATTAAGTTGGGTAAATTGTTAATTTACCCTAATTTAAGTTTTCACTTCCACCATGTGCTCTAGACCACACACCCAACTTTTTTTTTTACTCATTCTGTGAAAACTACATAACGTGTTTTGTTATTTAAATTAATTATTTACCCATTTTGTATGATTACGTTTAAAATTAAAGGAAAAATTATTGGAGAAAGTGAAGAAAAAAGAAAAAAACACACTCAATGTTCTGGGGGTTGCCTATTTCATTTGCTTAGCCCTACGGGGGAGTGTTGTATCATACAATTTACATCACTTAGACAAATCTAATAAAATTTTAAAAATCATTTACAATATTTTTATGTATTAGAGTGTTATTTTAAGTGATAAGTTGGGTTCCACCGTGGGCAACCAAAATAGCCAAGCATAGAATACAATCAACATGTTAATGATCAACATATTTTAGAACTTACCAACATCCAAATGGTATATCATCGGGTTTTCCATCCGACAAGGTGTGTCCCTCAATTCACTCAATTTTGATTTTATGTCTTCAGAAATTTCGTCAAAATTGGTAACTGTGTTCAAAGGAATGTTTTCTTCTACTTCTATAGCATGTTTTAACGCTTTGTCTACGTTAGATATCAACATGTTCAACGCTTCAGGTACCTGGTGAAAAATTGTGTCATTATATGCTTTCAATTTATGCTAATCAGTAACAGTCACCATTCTAAAACGGCAAGGTATGTCAGCACGAAATACACCTGATTCTAGGGCTTCTACATGTCCACCCACATAAGTTTCCGAATCTAAGACATGGCCATCAGAGGACAGTTTGTTGTACTGTGCTTCTTCTTTATTTGGAAAGACAATGTTGGCATGAAAAGCTTCGACCATCAGAAGTGATTCGCAAAGTGTCCCTGAGCCTTTTCTTAAAACCTAATTTAAAAGATAATAAAGTAAAAAAATTCTGAAACATTTTGAAATTTAATTCAACTTACTTCATCAGGGTCCATTGGAATGATTGTGCATAAAGCGAAGATAAATGGATGGACGTATTTCATATAAAGATAATACGTAGCAACTGCATCAGAGACAGAGTAGTTTGACAAAACCTGAGGCTGTTCTACTGCCATTTTACACATTTCTTCTGGGTCCAGTTCAACTGGGTCATACCGAAGTTTAGCTTTAGCAACAGCTTTTAGATTATGGGATCCGACTGGAAGGTATGAATCTCTTTTCACCCAACTATTCATAACAAAAAATAATTAAATGAAATTATTCTTATTACTTATAAACTTATGAATATGAATCAAGTAAACTTGATAAAAATTGTGGTCTAAATAATTTGCAATAGTAAAATGAGAGACTTACCATAAACAATCCATGTGTGTGGCAGGCCGGCATAAATAAATGCCATCTTTCCCTTTATAAAAACCGATTTCCTGTTTCATGGTCATTCCATGAAATTTTGCCCTCGCTTCAACGAACGGCCAATCAAAACCGTCACCATTGTAAGTGACAAAAATGTGTGGTCTGATCTAGAGAAAACATTTTATACACAATTCGATTAGTACATACCATATGTACCAATAGTATATACCAACCTCCATTATGTGTTCGAAAAATCTCTGGATCAAGGCCATCTCATTTGGTTCATTAAAAATAGTAAAAAAGCCTTCAAACTCCGGCTTTGGTGTGTATTCAAAATCTTCGACATCACAAGAAATTATCTCTCGGTTGGTTATCAGGTAGCCCTAAAAGGGAAAATCATGTCATTTTTGTAAATAAGATATTTTTAAAGCAAACTAACCTGACCGTCTATCATGTATGAAATCATCATTATCTGATCGACTGAAGCATCAGGAAACTTCAAAGGAAGTTTTGTAGTTTCTATGTCGTATGCTAAAACAATCAAATCTGGTCGGTCGATAATATCATCCCTTTTTGTGATGATAGGAGGAAGATTAGAACCCCTGCTTTGAATCGAATACCAAAGACCTACAAATATCTTATTATCGATTGACACCCTGACGTGATAAGGGACATCAAACTCCCTGGTGAAAAAAAAAAAAAGTTTAATTCAATAATTAAAAATAATTTGAACAAGCATCATTACCTAATGTCCAAAATGCTTTCTAAATGGTCAGAATGTTTCCTAGCTCCTGTATTGTTCTTGTTTCTAATCTCAGACTCCAACATGTCATTGTAAAATGTATTGCTCGCTTCTCGGTTTTGATTTTTCTTAACACTTGGCCGAATTACTTGACGCACCTTGATCAAATCACTCACAGTAGCGAATAATAACTTCAAATACCTCTGCTTTAAACCGATCAAATGATTAGGCTGAAAATACATTAAAAACATAGAACAAAAACTTTTAATTGTTTAATATACTTAAGAAAATTTTTTTTTTAAATGTTGGCCTCGTGATTAATTCATCAACCATACACAAGACTTGTGCGTAGGATGGCACAGGAGGGCCAGGCCACAGGGGATTGTGCAGGCAGGCTTAAGGGGGTTGAAAAAGTTTAAATTATTAAAGTGATGGTACTAACAGATCCCATTTGAATGTGAAAATTGTTTACGACGTCATGTGATCCACGACACACACGCACCCAATCCCAGGACCCGGTCCACCCGACCAACCCCAGCCCATCCTGTGCCTGAGTCAGTTCTTTCTCATTAATTTGTCTATCACATCAAAGATTAGAGAGGTCAGATAGGTATATTGTTTTTCTCAATAAAAAGAGTCCAAAGCTACAATATTTTTTCTGCCTGACAATATACTTTGAATATTTGTGAGGAATGTTATTCTGCAGTTATGTAGATTGGAAAACAACATTTTCCTGTCTACGGTATTCCTAGTGTACACAAGGATGACATTAACATCATACTGTATTTTTTTTTTTTAATACTTTATATTTTATGTCAAGAATAAATTTCCAGAAAGTGTCATCATTGAAGAAACCCTATGGATATTAGTGATGCATGTTCTCTGTAATTGTCAGACCACAGCTGTAAAGGTAACAACTGCAACATGTCAGTAACGTGAGTCAGCCTGCATACTGTAAAATAGACGCTTACTAATGTTTGATAAGCCCTGACATGAGTCCAGAGCTCCAGACAAGGCTTGTTTGTTTCTAGAGATGCTATTAAGGTGGAAGACATTGCATGGATTCCCAAATTTGGAAAGAGCTTACATGTAATACTTAGAAATGTCAGGTATTTCCAACTATAACACCATTGGGACATTATCAAAAAGGGTAAAAAGATATCCAAGACAATTCGAAGCAATTACAAATGGCATTGCTAGAGCAATATCCTGAATTGAGGTAAAATTTCATACAGAGAAATCCCTTTTAATGGACAACCTTCTATAGCGACCTCCTATCTTACAGAATTGGAATGTAGACCAGGAGAGAAATGCAAAAAATGTCATCAAATGACTATTAGAAACTAATGGCAGAACTATTAAATCTAGGCAATGTTAAGACTAGAATAATAGTTGGATGCTAATTGGACACTGGAGACTCCAAAAGCATATGTATAGACTTGGAGTGGTAGAACCATGCCTATGCTACACTGTCCTTAAAAAAAAAACAAAAAAAAACTTTCAGATCTTGTAAAAAGCCTTAAGCTTAATGTGTGGTGTTTAGTGACCATTAGTTAATGATTATTTGGAGATCGTGAGATGCGGTCTGGTGTGACGTAGGTTTTAGAAAAACATTTTCTTTATTGTGCCAATGTTTTGATCTTTATTGAGGTCATCTTCAGGGTCTGGGATGTATAAACATTGTTTAAATTTTACAAATACAATTTGGGGGTGAAAAAAAATGAATTGATACAATGCTAGAAATTTTAGATTCAATCAAAGTATTTGTACTGACTCAGTGTTTGTTTTCTGTTTAAATATGTCATTATTGGGTGTCGTGTTGAGAGTGCCAGTGAGATATTGATGTTTTATGTTTATATACGTTGGATTTTGAAGGGGTGGGGAAGGAAGTAAGGACAGAAAACATTTTTTATATGAGGAGTCTGCTTCTTTGAGTTAAAAGGAGCCAACGATGGGAAAGAATGGGTAATGGTTTGGCCTGATTATCCTTTCAGGGGATAATTAGAGAAAGAAAGCTAAATTAACATAGAATTAGTGTATGTAGAAATGTTTGATGTGAGGCATGTAATGATTGTTTTATATGTTTTGTGTGATGTGATGATGATATATGTATGTTATTGATACTGAATTTGATTAATGATATTAGCGTAGCTGTGACTGAGTTTACATGTATCTGTTCTGTAATTGATGCTGTTTATCTCTGTTGATGTAAACCATTTCTAAAAAATTACGTTTATGTTTGTTTTGTTCTGTGTGTTATATTTTTGGATTGTTGAAGTCAAAATTGTGTTTGTGTTCAAAATGGTGGGTAGCGAGTGCTGTAGGATTTTGCTTGGGTTTTTTGCAATCATAGATATGTTGCTTTACTCTCTTGTCCAGATATTGGGATGTAAGACCGATGTAAGTTGCCGGACAGTTTAAACAGTTGATCTTGTAGATTACGTCAGATTTATTTGTTATTGGTGTGGGATCTTTAATTTTGGAAAAAAGTGTTTGAATTGTTTTATAATTTTTGAAAGCTATTTTGAAGTTATCGGACAAGAGAAATGTGTTTAATTTATGTGGTAGGCCGTGAATGAATGGCATGGATATGTATATTTGATAGATTTGATGTGGTATTATTAACTTAAGCTTAATTAGGAGCTGTAAACAACAACGGAATAGACCAATACTGGTCGTTGTGCACAAGTTGTAAAGACTCCAATTCCTACTCTAATCTTAATCCTAATTCACTAATTTCGTGGTCCACTTGACCAATTAATATCTTACAATTAATTAAGGTTTTTAGTTGAGATAAAAACCTTAATTAACTTATCCTAATCTTACCAAATCCAAATCTTCTTTGATGACTAATTCCACAGAGAGAAGCGTCCCTGCAAACCTTTTTGTCAAGTAAGCGGACACTTCTTGTATACATTCTTTTTTGACTAAAATGAGAAAGTACGGCTGATAGGGTAAAGACGCTTTAAATCTGCTCCCGTCCTCCTGGATGAAATAATAGTCGACGGCACTTATTAAACGCTTGTCCTCGTCGAGGATTTCAGTCTGAAACAATCGACCATACTGAGTCAGGAAAGAAAAAACTTTAAACATAAAATTCTCCTTACAGCATGCATGTTAATGAGAAAGCCGATCCTCTCTTGATGATCCTTAATCCGGTCAAAACCATATTTAAAGTCGATCTTATCACTTTCTAAGCTCTGCCTCAATCGATATTCAGACGCATCTTCATTCCTGAAATATTTAAATTGTACTGGTTTAACATGAATTTCCTAACATTTACATGTCACAAAATAACAGAATAAAATTATAAATAACTATTTAAAATTTTGCATTTAAAGGAGATTAAAAAACATCATTAAAAAATAACTCAATATTGTTTCCTTTTAGGCTTGGCATGAGAACAGCACATACTTTAAAACTCACCCTGATCTTTCTTTTCCTTCCGGTTTATATTTTCCTGAATTCTGAAGCACCATTTTAAATTAAATTACGTTTTATTTGACTGAAAATAAATAATCATCATTAACTCCAGTAAAAAATAATGCAAGTTGTTGATCAACAATCACCAACAAAACTAGAAAAAAGTAACCATGCATGTGGATGTTTAGGCGGGAGATGAATTCAGTGGAGGTGCATCAGTGATAACGTGATCAAATGTCAGCCCTGCCAAAAATGATCATTTTAACATTACACAAAAATGTTCAGACATTTTTTCTACATTGTAACATTATAAATATTAATAACATAAAATAAATATAGATCTTTGTTCCTTCTTCGTATATGTGATATGTTTTTTTTATCGGAATGAATGTATTTATTTGCGTGAATGCAGGGCTTATCCAGTACTTTGGGAAAGTGTGAATGATTTGTGGTGCATGTAATTTATTAGCGTGAATGGAAAGGTTTATCCCCAATTACCTCGAAGAATATCGAATACCCTGAGGTACGGTGAATGATTTGTGGTTTGTGGATGTAATTTATTAGCGTGAATGGAAAGGTTTATCCCCAATTACCTCGAAGAATATCGAATACCCTGAGGTACGGTGAATGATTTGTGGTTTGTGGATGTAATTTATTAGCGTGAATGGAAAGGTTTATCCCCAATTACCTCGAAGAATATCGAATACCCTGAGGTAGAGTGAATGATTTGTGGTGTGTGGATGTAATTTATTAGCATGAATGGAAAGGTTTATCCTCAATTACCTCGAAGAATGTCGAATACCCTGAGGTACGGTGAATGATTTGTGGTGTGTGGATGTAATTTATTAGCGTGAATGGAAAGGTTTATCCCCAATTACCTCGAAGAATATCGAACAGCCTGAGGTTGGGTGAATGTTTTGTAGTGTGTGCATGTAATTTATTAGCGTGAATGGAGGGGCAGTCCCAATTTGAAGAATATCGAGTACGCTGGTGTAATGTGAACGAAGTCTGGTGTGCAAATGTAATTTATTAGCGTGAATGAACAGGTTTATACCCCAATTACCCAAATAACTATCGAGTGTATTTGTGTTTATTATTATTATTTGTTATTTTATCCACAATTGATGAGGCCCTGAGGTACAGAGAGACTAGCAATAGTATAAAGAAAAGAGAGTTTGTTTAAAATAAAAAAATTTTTAAAGTTAGTATTGGATTAATATTTTTCCCAGAATTAAATTAATTACATTTAATTAATTCAAATTTGGAGTGAGGTGTATAGATCAGCAGTCATTAGTTTTGTAATATTTAAAGATCTATTATAAATTAATAATTTCCATAATTTTAATCATGGAATTATCAGCTTTAATCATTTTTAATTCATAATATTACTAATGATTAATAGAATTTCACTCTGTTATTTATTTACCAGATCTATTTAAAAAAAAAAAATTCTTCAATCCAAAAATTTATTTTCTGGTTCCTCTGTGATGATGACAAATTTAAAAATTAATATAGACCTGCAATTTAATCATCTCTCATCTCACAGCTTAGGTTGCCTAATCCTCTCTTGAAAATAACACGCTGATAACTGTATCTCAATGCATATTCTGGAGTTAAGGCATTGACTCGGCACTCAATATTGTAAGGTAAAGGTCCTGGGTTCGAATCCGAAATACCAATGTGCTTTTTGCACGAGGCATCAGCACCCAAAAAGGTTCATATAACCTTGTAGGTGAAATACTCTCTTAAAAAAATTAAATTAATGTCCTCTCATGGACTGATCACTTTGACCTTTCCTTCATACAATCTCTCATCCATGGCTGAATCCAGGACCAAGCCTGCCTGCAGATTCACCACAGGCACCGCATGTAACGACTCCTCCACCTTTACCGCTAGGCGTTCATGAAACTGCTCGGGTTAGCTTGAAAAAGATTAAATGACTCCTTGACCGACCTCCGAATGACCCCATCCAGCCTAAGCAGCTTAGTGATACATGGCACATCTACAACCACAGTAGAGCCTTCTTGGTATCACAAATTGTTTGAACAAGTCTAGCTCTGACGAGGCAATTATCCAGGCAATTTTCAGAGAAGTATTGTACTCCTAGGTATTTAAATGACACACTGTGGGGTTACGGCGCCTCTCTGCTGATGGTAAGACATCCAGGTCCTTGATTTTTCTGGATTTATCGCACAAAAAAAATTGTAATCTACTCATTATGTGTTTTGGGATGTAGGAGCAATAAAACAGTAAAGATATTAAAGGTTAAGATTATATTTCACATAATAAATGCAAACTTTTTAGTAAAGCTAATTTTCAATAATAAATGTCACATATCTGTCACGATTTTCTATATGATATAGATATAAACTCAATTGTTTCAACTAACATATATATATATATATATATAACATTTTGCAGTAGCCATATAAATGGATATTCTTTGGTACAGATACTATGATTTAATACTATAGTGAACACACAGGTCAGGCTATTGAACTTTAATTTTTTTTTTAATGCATATTTTCATCTCGCATGTTTATTTATTAACAGCCAACTATTTAAGTATTTCATCTAAATTTAGTTTACAATATTCAAGAAGAGATTATGAATTATTACTAACGACCCGCATGATTTGCAATGTCTGTTCAGTCACCAACTAACATTTAAATATATTATATTTTTTTAAATAATAGTAACACAGCAAGTTTTGTGCATTTTTTTGTCTTAAGAAATTTTGGTAGACATTTTTCCTCCCAGAATCAGTGGTTGATTATTTCCCGTAGAAGAAATATTATTCCTCATAAGAGAGATAAAAATCGAGGTCATGACTTTGGCACAAGAATTACTGTTTCTATGCCCTAATATGAGGTCCCATAAATAACGGAATTTATTTGTTATTTTTAGATTTTTTTATCAGTACAAAAAAAAATGTTTAAAAAATAAGAAAATATGAGTCACAGTATAAAATAAAATATTGTGATTGGTTAAAAAGTTATAGCCAAGGAATATTATTTTTTCTAAATACTAGGCAAAAATAAATAAAAATAGATTTTTTTGAAAAAAAAAATACTATGAGGTACAGAATAAACTTTTAACAATTTTCTTCTGATCTCTAAAACAAAATATCTAATTATAAATAAATAAATATCTAAATGTCATATATTCTAGCTAATGATTACTTTCCTCATAAAATTCCATCTATACAGAAAATATAATGGTTTTTAATCTACTACAAACTTGTCGTTCCTTAATAAACTTTGTTATTCGATACCTATAAAAATAAACCTTTCAAATATTTTTTTGAATGGTAAATAGTTCTGTACATACTAGTTCTAAGAAATACAGATTAGAGGAATAAAACTAATTATCGAATTTCTAACATTTTCTGTTTTTTTTCCTCATTAACTCCCTTCCCCCTTTGGGTTCATGAACAGAAGTAATTTTGAAATAAAGCTGTTTAAAGTTCATTAATAGTTTACAACTTATAGCAAAAAGATTGATTAATAAAAATACATTGTTTAAATTAAACTGAAGTTACTATAATTAAATAAAACGTGGTAACAGATTAAGCGGAGATTAAGACACTGCATGTGTTTAAACAAGATCTACAAACATAGCTGAAAGAAAAATGGTTAGTAGAAACTTTATGCAAAATGGTTGTTAAAATTATAATTAAGACAGTAAATAAAATAAAAATTATTAACAAAAGATTACTCCTCAAATTCATTGTACTATTCTCCCTTTGCTGCCCAATTTAGGCAGCCTTAATTCAAAAGTAACTTTAGTTTCTTTAATATTTTTGTCAAATTCATTATTTTTTGTTATTTACAAGTGTAGAAGATACATAAATAATAACTATAAACTAAAAGCAACACAAAAAATTAGTAAAATAAATGCCAAATGTTATTTATTTTAAATACAATATAATTTCACTGGTGGGGTAAACAATTTCAATGTACTCTTTTCTTTCAAAGTCCAGATTGAGATATCCTATCACATTTATAGGAAGACGAATAGTTTTCCTTGAAACAGCTTAAAATACCGAACATTTTAAAATGGACAAGGAAAGAACGGAGATTTCAAATTGAAAATGAAAAAGAAATCATCTCTTTTAACAAGAAATTATTGACCCTGAACTCCTTTGGACAAGATCCTGTTTTTTAACCGAGATCTTAGACAATGAGGTTTAAAGAATGAGGAAGGGCGAGTGGGGTTTATTTCAACTGGGGTGGCACTGTCGCTCTCTGGTCCTCCATTCGACCTGATTGTAGGCGCATGATCAGTGAAAAGAAGTCTTCATCTGGAACAGTAGGCCCTAAAATGAGAAAAAAATCATAACCTAAAAAATCCACAATTAAAACAATTTAAGCTTATAATGACGTGATAAAGGGGACTATGGTAGCCAGGTTAGGGCACTTGTATTTGCCATAGCAGTTCCAGGTTCGAATCCCGGCAGAGCCCATGGCTTTTTAATTGATTATTGTATGAAAAATATAAGCTTGACTCCAACACCCAACGGGTGGGTACTTAGTCATTTAGCCCTCCTGTACTTTATCTCCTGGAAATTCTGTAAGTCCTCCTTTATGACAATGGAATTAAAACAGCATTGAAGACCTTGAACACAATTTGAAAACATCTAAAAACATTGACAAAACCGACCCACTTGGTAAAAATGACATAACATGCAGCAAATAAAGGGGGAAAAGTGATGAGATAAAAGATCGTTACGCTAAACAAAGGGCAATACCTAACTATGTCCCCAAAAAAGTCAGTGAAGTTTGAATATAAACAACTTTGTTTCCTTAACAGCCTACTCATGCTTAGACATTTGGTTTCCCAAGGCAGAGCCCAACTTAGTTAATTAGAACTTAAAAATATTCTACTATTGTTCTTGGACTACCCCTAATTTAAAAGTAATATTGTAAATAATTCGAAATATGACAAAGATGAACTTCAGGTTCACCTTGCAGACAATATTTCACAATTTAAAGCCATATTATATATAAAAGGTTAAAATGAAAGACCTGGTAAAGTGCTGCGCTGGTCTTCCAGCCTCTCGCCTTGGCTCCTCATCAGCATTTCAATGAAGCCGTCGTCCGGACCTGCGAGGGCAGTGCCCGGCGGGCAGAGCCCAGGAAGATGTGGCAGCTCCACTCTCTGTTCGTCCATCCTCTTGCTCTGCATACCGACAATTAAGTCGAGCAGTTCATCTTGCGCTTCTAAGGGCAAATACGACAAAAATGTAGTTTCTCATTTTAGTTAATCGAATGAAATTTATGGTCTTATTTACAATATTACAAGAATTTCCATCACCTTATGATATTTTCAAACACTTTTAACTGGGGGGGAAAAATAATAATTTAATACAATTTTTAAATGTATTTACCATTGCTGAAATTTGTTGGTGTATTTGAACTATGATTTTCTTTGTTTTCTGACCTGACTGTCAGCGAACACCTTTGGTCGTCCATCCGTTCGGATTGAAATCGTGATAGAAGATCAAAGAAAGAATCTTCATCCTCGTTCTGAAAAAATACAACGTTGGTTCAAATCTGTGTTATAAATTAAGAGTGAATGAAATTTTAACAACAGTTTACCTGATCCGTGTGCTGTATAGGTAAAGGCGTGTGTTGGAGAGACGCTTCTGCGTTGTTTCTTGCTTTTGCATCTGGCGTAAGCTGAAATATACGGTGAAAAAAGTTAATAAACACTAAATTCACTAATTTCGTGGTCTGCTTGACCAATTAATACTTTACAATTAATTAAGGTTTTTAGTTGAGATGAAAAAAAGTTAATGGCACGAAGGGATTCGAACCCACGACCTTCGGCTAGATATGCCGCTGTTCTACCACCTGAGCTATCGTGACCTCGATCCACTCGGACATCAACTCCCCATCTCAACCCCACCTTATGGCAAAAGGAGGGAAAACTCATAAGGTGGGGTTGATGTCCGAGTGGATCGAGGTCACGATAGCTCAGGTGGTAGAGCAGCGGCGTATCTAGCCGAAGGTCGTGGGTTCGAATCCCTCTCGTGCCATTAACTTTTTTTCATCTCAACTAAAAACCTTAATTAATTGTAAAGTTAATAAACACATCGGAAATTTTTAAAAAACTGCTACTTTCGGTGCAAACTAATAAATCTAAAAAAGCTAACAAATCTGTCAGTATTTAACACTTCCTTTTGCTAACAAAACCACAAAAAATTATTAATAAGGAAAATGTCTTTGTAATATTCTTTTGTTAAGAATATTATAGATTTAACAAAAACTACTCTCAACATTATTTTCAAATTTTATTAAACTAATTGCAACTAATTAAGCCTTTGGTGATCAACTCATAAAATACAGATTATTACGAAATTTATCAAATGTTGACAGCATGCAAAAATCGTGCATAATAATATAAAAATTAACAAAGTGTAATATAAAAAAATGGATGAAATTGTGTATCTAGTAAATAAATTAATATACCTTTTATATTTTACAATTAAAAAAAAAAACTACTTGCCCATTCCATTATTTATTTTTCAACAAAAGCTGAATAGAAATTGAAAAAAATAACCTTCACTATTTTTTCACAATGGTGAAAACTTGTTGGTAATATCACAAAATCAAAAAATAATTAATAACTGAAGAACAAAATAGAAAATACATGCTCTCAAACCTTAATGATATCTAGATGGTTCATGCTCTCCCTTCTCACCCTGTAACGCCTGATCCCCGGTGACGGCTGGCTGCCGAACTTGTTAACCAATTTGAGACTATCCGGTGAAAGATCGCCTTCAGGAAGTCCAAGAACTTTTCTCAAGTCGGATATGTTGACCTGAGCAGTCGCCTGACCGACATTATCCCCTACCTTTGGGTTTTATTTATTAGTCGACAAGGTTGAACATCAATTAAAAACAAATTTTAAAAAAACTTACTTCTTTTGAAATTTCAAGATGTTTCTGGGCGAAATGGAGGGCCTTTTCGTGGTTTCCCATAGCGGAATGGGCATTTCCCAAACTCCAGCATGCTCTTCCTGTTAATTTTTATTTTACACAAAGCTCAAAATTGATTGGTTGTTCAAATACTTCAAACAATTTTCTTATAAATGAACACAAACCTTCTCCAACCCTGTCTAACAGGTTCTGAGCGATCTGCAGGTGTCGCAAATGGTAGTCGATGGCTGTTGGGTAATCCCTCAGAAGTGTATAAGTGTTACCTAAACTGTAACACGCCTGAGCCTCAATCGCTTTATCGTTCAATTCTTGAGCAAGGACCAAAGTATGCCTTAAACATTTTAAATATATTAACCTCAAAGAAACATTTTGAAAAACCTAATTAGTGTTCCTTGGCAGTGTCTTGAGTCTATGTTCAAAGAAATTTGAAGCCATTTATTAAAAACTTAATTATGTCAATTTGTAAACATCTTTAAGATTGTTTTACCCTGATGGTGACCTTAAAGTAAGTTTAAGGCTCAGTAGATAACAATTGAATTTGTTTTACATCCACTTGAACATACCAATATCCAGATTATTCACGATTAAAAAAGTGGTTGATAAATTTAACATTTTAAACACAAAACTTAACTAGCCATAACATCACAAACTGTCTAACTAGATTCAGTTTTATTATGATACAAAGTTTATTTGAAACACAAGCCAAGTAAGTACTCTTAACGATCATGTAGAGTTAGAAAAAAATACTAACTTGTAATGTTCTGCAGCTTTTTCAAATTCCCCGAGAAAAATGTGCGAATTACCCAGATTGCTGTATGCCCTTCTCTCAGCTGCTTTGTCTCCAAACTCCCTTGCTATTTTCAGTCGCTGTAATATTACATAAATTAGTATATCAATGTACTAATGCTTCGTAAAACTTACCTCTTGGTGGTACTGTATGGCTTGCTGAAAATCTCCCAAAAGATAATAGGTATTTCCTAAATTACCACAAGCCCTTCCCTGTGCAGCTGTATCGTTTATTTCTCTCATGAGTTTTAGGTTTTCTCTGAAAATTTATAATTTTTTAGTTTAATTTTAAGAAATACACTATAATAAAATTATATTTTAATAATAATTGTTATACACACTCATAGTAAAAAACTGCTTGTTGTAAGCATTCTTTAACATCTTCAGGAAACTCTCCAGGATCTTGTTGTCCAACCCGTCCTATATGCTTGCCTTTGGCGTGATAAACATTACCTAAGTTGTACAAAGCTCGGCCTTCGCTTAACTGATAACAATGCAAGATAAGTAAAAAAAAATGTAAAAAAATCAGTTTTTAAGTAGGCAAACCTTATCGTTCAGTTCTCTTGAAATTTCTAAATGCCTTTTGCAACATATCATCGCCTCATCGAATTTCCCCATAACTTTAAGCGTGTTGCCAAGGTTACCGCTGGACTTTGCCTCTCCGAGTTTATCACCCATTGTCCTTGAAAACATAAATTTGTATGTGAAATGAAAATTGTGTTAAATTAAAAATGAGCATACCTTGCCAGCGTGAGGTCATGCTTGTGGAACTGCATAGCTTTAACATAATCTCCGAGATAAAAGTAAGCGTTTCCAAGCTGGCTGTATATCGCACTTAGTGTCCTCAGATCATCTGTGCCAGCCTGGATAGCGGCTTGGAAAAAGGCGACTCCAGCCCTACATTCACCTGCCTTGCACAGCCTTTCACCCTCTAAGGCCAGCTCAAGACACATATTACCACTATCACAGCTCTATAAACAAACGTATTAAAAAAATAATTTAATAACTGAAATATAATGAAATGTGAGGTGAATTTAAAGGCTTAAAACTATTTCAAAAAGGATGATTATGGTAATTGTTAACTTTGAACTTGGAATTTGAATGTTGTTTAATGGCCGTATATTAAAAGAACTTTCAGATAAGTAGATAATTTTACAACCGTGAGGATAAGTTAAATTTTATATTCAACAATTAATTAAGGTTTTTTTAGTTGAGATAAAAAAGTCCACGATCTTCGGCTACATACGCTGCTGCTCTACCACTTGAGCTATCGTGACCTCGATCCACTCACAGTGGTAGAGCAGCGGCATATCTAGCCGAAGATCGTGGGTTCGAATCCCGCTCATGACACTGACTTTTTTATCTCAACTAAAAAACCTTAATTAATTGTAAGATATTAATTGCTCAAGCAGAACACGAAACTAGTGAATTTATATTCAACAACAGAATTGGATTTTAAATTCATTCCTATTCCTTAGGAATTTCATTCCTATAAAGCCTGAATTACAAAGGATGAGACCGAATCCATTTTTTTTTTTTTTTTTAATTAATTAATTAATTTATTTTTTATTATTATTATTTTTTTTATAACCAGTTTTGTTTACTACAGTTTTATCCAAAGTAGACTAGTACCGTCCCTGCCTTCAAAGCCTTTGCTATATTAAGTTTAATGAATGCCAATTATACAAATTGCGTCAATTAGGAAAAACATCTGTTTCAAGAAAATAAAGGACAAAAATACATGACCATTAGAAATGCTGGTACACAATAAAGGGTAATCAATTTTCAACTGTGCATTCCCAAACTTGCAATATGTACTATTATATATTATAGTTATATAATAATATGTATTAATCTTTTCTTAGAATCTGCTCATCGCCTTCAAATTGCTTATCATTCGTGCATTAGATATCGTAATGATCTTAAATCAAGAGATCATATTTCTTCATGTATTAACATCTTTAGCAACATTAACATTCTAAGCACTTATAAACTTTTTTTTCATTTTAATGCAGATATTTAAAATAAAATGAAATAAATGTCCTCAATACATATCAACTTTTTCCCCACATTCCGTATCCAATTTACTGTTTATTTTGACTATGAAAGCTCCTAATTATTAATGTAGAAAGATAATGGAATTTATTTTAAATTAAACTAATTGAATGTGCGTTAAATTTTTCCATTGGTATATTAACATCTTCAACAACCTGTCATATCCCAAACCTTCAAAACTGATCTAAAATTTAAGCCTTATCCTTCAGAATTGCAGGGTCAAGACCGTGGAATGTGCTTCCAAGTGAAGTAAGTTCTCTTTTCTCGCTGGCTTGTTTCAGGTCTGGTGAGTTTTTAAAAACAGCATGAATTTTCTTTTTCTCTCTTTTCCCCATTTCCTTTTACCTTTTTTTTCTCGTTCTGCTTTTCTTTCATAATGTGGTTCTATCATTCAATTATAAGTAATAAATATTTGAAAGAATATATTATTGTCACTATTGTTTTGTATATTTTACTATATGTTTTATTATTATGGCTATTATTATTTCTGTTTGTAAAACTAAATTTATTTTTAATATATACTGACGGAAAAATTTAACACACCACTCAATTTATTTAATTTAAAATAAATTCCATTATCCTTCTAGATTAGTTACAGATAAATAAGAGCTTTCGTAGTCAAAATAAGCAGTAAATAATGTTTTATTTACTTCATTTATTTAATTTTCTACTGATTTATTCCATACAAAAAGTAGCATATGCCCTTTAATTCTGCTGCACGCAAAGATCCTTTGCTGATTTCATTTAATATTACTGTTATTCTTAAACCTTTTTCAATGCGTCTAGTCAGGTATTTGAGTGAGTATGAGTGTCAGGGTGATAACATTAATAGAGGATAAAGCCAGCACAAAGTCACCAAGAGTAAATTACTCTATAATAGGAAGGGTTCTATGGTGCTTTATACCTTTATACTTTCACAAGTGGAAGGCCAGGACAGGTTCGACCTAGGTCTACAGAACAGAGAGAATTTAGATTCAGGCTCTATGAAACTGCAACATTACGGGACATGATTCAAGAAATTTGATAAGACAAGTCCGAAATGTTTTAACTTCCTCCAGGATTGTAAGAGCTCAGGACCCGGCACCCGACTCGTGGACCTCTTCTTATCACAGTTCAGAAAATAGCCAGGCTTCAATTCACAAGGGAATATTGAAAGATTGGGGATGAATTCTCTTCACAGATGAGGTGAGAGTTGGTCTCAAATCTTCAGATGGATAAACTTTCATATGGAGACATTCATGAGAAATTCACTAGTTTTCGTGGTCCGCTTGACCAATTAATATATTTCAATTAATTAAGGTTTTTAGTTGAGATAAAAAATCAGTGTCACGAGCGGGATTCGAACCCACGATCTTCGGCTAGACACGCCGCTGCTCTACCACTTGAGCTATCGTGACCTCGATCCACTCAGACACTGACTGTTCGAACCCCACTCGTGACACTGATTGTTTATCTTAACTAAAAACCTTAATTGAAATATATTAATTGGTCAAGCGGACCACAACTAGTGAATTGAATAAGTTAAAATGAAGTATACCTTCACTAAAGCTCTCCGTGGCCATTTCATTTGTCGCCGAGAATCAAATAGATTACACATTTGAAAAATGACAAAAAGGAGGGAAAATTCAAAAGGTGGGGTTGAGATGGGAAGTTAGTATCCGAGTGGATCGAGGTCACGATAGCTCAAGTGGTTAGAGCAGCACTTCGTGGGTTCGAATCCCGCTCGTGACAATGACTTTTATTATCTAAACTAAAATCCTTAATTAATTGAAATTCATGAGAAAGGTACGACCCATGCTGTATGTTCAGGAGGCATTCCACAGTGGGTCATTGATGTTCTGGGGTGGCGTTTCCTTGTAAACCTGCGCCGAATTGGTTCTTGCTCGTGAAAAATCTCTAACTTCACAAAGGACACACAACACAAAACATAATAAAAGAATATGTAGTGCCATTTGCCCCCCACATTGGTGAAGGATTCTTGCTAATGCAGGATAATGCCAGGCCCCATAGAGCACATATTGTGGATGACTTACCTGAATGCTTGGTGCGGCCAGTTCTAAGTTCAGATTTGAACCCAATCATACACATTTGCGACCAACTTAAGCGACGAATATGATGGCAAAACCCTAAACATCCTAGAAGAATCAGAAACGGCTGTTTTTGATGAATGGGCAAGAATTCCGCAGGATTTTATCAGAAATCATTTCCAAGAAATGCAAAGGTGTTTGATAAAGGTGATTTGTGCCATTGGTGAAAATAATCGGTACGAAAGAGGACAACAGAGCTTTTACATTTTTATTTTTTTGCCCTGTACTCTTTTTTTTTACAATCAGGTACTAAACTTTTTTTTTAAATGTCTTATTTTTACAACTAAACCTATTTCAGTATGCAAAATATGAATACATTAAAATTTAAGAGTATACTTTTGTTTGTCCATTAATGTAAGTGCATGTTAGGTGGCTTAACGGGAGCAATGAGAACATGTCCCACAGCTTGTATGGAAAAAAAAATTGGGATTAATCCTCCTACACCACATGATAATGAGGACAGCATAAAAAATCATTATTAGAATCATTAAAGAGAAACCTCCAACAGGAATAAAACTAAAATGGAGAGACAGCAACAAAATAATGAAGCATCATGGCTCCAAGAGACGACATGAACAGATGTTTGAATCCAATCAAAACTTCCAAATAAACCTAAGTACCAAAAAAAGAATGGGAACGAGAGGGAAACACCTCCTATAAGAACGGCACCATCCATTGGTACGCAGATGGATCTAGAACACAAGAAAGTACAGGCAGGAGTTTTCTGTCCTGGGACCAAAAACACCTTCCAAGCTGAGGTTCACGCAATCGAGAGATGTACTTAATTCAGCTTGACCAAAGGGTACAAAAACAAGAACATATGTCAGATAGCCAAGCAGCCATCAAAGTTCTAAACTCAAAATTAGTTCAAGGATGGTGCTAAACTGCAAAACCAAACTGAACATAGTAGGTACGCAGAACAAGGTCAGCCTCTGCTGAGACCCAGGACACAAGGGAATAAAAGGCAACGAGAAATGGTCTGCTACACTGCTGATAGGACCCGAACCCTTCGGTGGCATAGGAACCCTCGCTATCAACGAGTACCTCAGACAGAAGGACAAAAACTGAAGAAACAATGGAATTCACTCATTGGGCAATCCGAGAATCTCCAAACAAATTACAGACGGAAAGAAGTTACAGTGTCAAAGGAAACAGGAATAAACTGTGAACCCTAGCAGGATTCTTAACAGGACACTGCGATCTAAATGGATGTTTAAAGAAGATTTGAATAATCCGAGGCGGCACATGGAGATTCTTCAAGGAGGCAGAGGACCCACCTACTAACAAATGCGGTGCTACACTTGCCTGCAAGAAGAAGTGCTTTGGGTTGTACAATATGACCATAGAAAAGATTCAACCACTGAAACCAGGCCTATTAATGAAGTTCCTTGATGAAATAGACTCACTGGTGTGCTTTAAGCAGAGAACGGTGGATACTATAGCTCTTAAAGGACTCAGTGTATTACACCCCGACTAATACATCTACATCTTAGATGGCTTAAGGCCCTATTTGTACCTTTAAAATAAAATAAATAAGAAAAGTGAGTGACAGTAGAGGACTAGATACTACAGCTATAGACTGCTAGATATAACTTCAATGGGATGAAACATATCATACATATTAGTTTTTCAATACCCTTAAACTTTTTTTTTTACCATTTTAAATCAGCTGAATGTCATTATAATTAAGAAATTACATTATTATTTTATATTTCAATGGCGTTATTATGCGATAGACATGCAGATATAATATGCAGTATGCGAGGGTCTTCTTACCTGAGTATCGGCCGAAACGTTTTCAGCACTTGCACTTAACGACATTTCAATTATATTTAACAATTTTATGGCACTTTGTTACTTTAATCTGGTGTTCTATTATCGCCCTTTTTGTTCAAAACGTGACAGAAAAGGTTCAAGTTTTCATCTCGGGAGTCGAAAAGTGTCATTAATCAGACGTCACGAACAAGAGAAACTTTTCAATATATCCAATACTGGTATGGAGATGTTTTTACTGGGATTTATTGCTTTAAGGCGGAAAAAAAAACCTTGTATATGTTTGTTGTTGTTTTTTTTAATGCCGTTCAAAATATAAACAACTTGTTCCGGATTAACCAAAAAAAAAATAAAGAAAGAAAAGAAAACCAAATATATCCACACTCTAAGAAAATCCCGCACAGAATCTCTCTCAGGCCGTGGCACCGATTCGAAAGAAAAACACAACTGAAAGACAAAAACTAAAAAAATTGGCTTTCAGAGAGATCACGGACTTCTTTCAACTCCACTCCCAGATTCCGTTCATCGTTCCGACTGTCCTTGCCCGTTGCCGACTTGCACTACAGGCGGTGCTTTATCCGTACTCACTGGCGTTTTAATAAATTTTAAACACTTTTTTAAATTTAATTAATTAATTTGATTGAAAAAAGTGAAAAAAAGCGTTTTGATTTTAATTAAAAGGGCGAACGCTGTGAAAAAAGGTACAACGCCGAGATCAAAACGGCATTGGATGTCATTTTGAAACCGGTAAAAATACTGGCTCTTAATGGTTCAATGATTATAGTTGAATAGGGAAGTGGTAATTGCCAATAAATTAATTATTAATTAATAGTAAGCTCTTATTTCTATATGTTAATTAGTTATCATTATATATGGAATGACACTAACACAATTCCATACAATCAACTCACACACAATTTATACTGTACATACTTTTGTTTTACAAATTGAAACTAGTTTAATATGAAAAGAAATGTTACAAACCTTGAACTTTTTGTATAAAGGGCAACATATTTCACCGACCTTTACTATCAAATTCTTTGGTATCAATTTTGACCAGAAATTAACCTGGCTGCCTCATGTCAGACAACTAAAACTTGCTCAATAATGTTGGATATGTTCTGTATATGAAGCATTCCTAGGGAGCAGATCGTATATATATATATATATATATATATATATATAAAATGCAGGGTGAGCGGCCAAGACCTGAGGGGTTAATTGCTTGGGTAGACTCGTACCCCATCCCTAAAGGGTCTGGGACTTGGTTGGCTCATGTGTCCTGCATAAATCTCTTGGACCTGTGCACAAACCTTAAGATTTTGGACCATTTAGTCTCGGGGAGTGATTTGGTGATGTCCTCTCCTTCAAAAGTTTCAAATCTAGACCTATCACATTCTGTGAGGTAGTGCCTTGCCGTTTTTCTCTTTTATTTACAAAAACGGCAAAAGGCCCCTTCTCAGTGGGCAGCGGCCCGTCAGAATACCTATCAGCCTCGTAATTCCCTTCGTTGAGTTAGAGAATAGCCATTTCGATTCTGCTGGTTTGATCTCCTTAACAAACTCCTTCGATTGCCTGTGTCCGGGGGATAGATTCCATTCCTTAAGGAATTGTTTCATACCCCAGTTTTTAATACTCTCGGGGAGCAGATTGTAGCACTTTACTAAAGTTATACAAAGCTTTAATCTTCTCTCTGTATTATACTGTCTGCATTATACTGCTTATGATTCAGCCAAAAAATGTGTTCTGAAAATGTTCGACCCTGTTCATCATAGAGCTCTTAGACTGAACAGGCGCATTTAGATCTAGCCCTATAATTAGCATGCTCACCGAAACTGGGGAACTCGATCTAAATAGAAAGAGACAGAAGCAAATTTTGTCCTTTTATATAAACACTTGGGCAAACTCAGAACACCTACCTAAATAAAAACCGATCCTAACATTCAATTATTCTATGAAAACCACCCTAAACTGCCACCATTTCTATATCGGGCAAATAAATTATCTTTCACAATCGAATATCAAACCCGAAAAATCCAGCCCCCAACCCCTCTCTGGCTATATCCAAATGTTAAATTTGATTTTTCTCTTACAAATACATGAAAACAGGAAACAAACCCTATATTGATTGCTAATTGAATTGATCAAGTCTCTAAAAGTCTAAAAATGAGAAGCATATATAAATTTCCATAATTTCCAATAAACCGCTGGTAGTACAAAGGCGATGATAACCTTTGGAAAAAAAATTGAAACCATTTTTTATATTACAATTGAAAATATAAAACTTAAAAAATTGGTTTTCTTTGAGAAATTACTTACGTTCTTAACTGTTCATTTATAAACAATTCTTATACATTATTGATTTGGATTTGGATTTATACAGGCCCAAATCCACACATGTACATACATATATACAAACATGTGCCAAGTTGGGCCTATTCATCAGCGCTATAGCATACCGAGTGCTTCTTCATGAAATTTGATTAATCGGCCTGATTTCAACAGTTTTCTTCTACAAATTTTCAAATCTCTTCTATATCATATCTCTTGATATCATTGCCCTTCTCTGTAATAAATTTATAATGCCTAAATGACAAGGTTTTCAACCTAACAAATCAACCACTTCAAATCTCATGCTGTATGAAAATTTTATACTAAATGCTTTTACCCTCAGTAAACAGTTTGATGTAATTTACAAGGATGTCAGTATGGCATTGGTCAATTTCAATTTGATTTTATCGAAACTAGATGTTCTGGACTTCCAATGACCCATATTTTTATGGTTTCATAGTTATTTACATGGTAGACTGCTTCAAGCAAAAATTGATAATTCTTTGTTTAAATATATCGATGCAAAATCTGGAGTGCCCCAGGGTTCTCATTTAGGCCTTTTATTATTTCTGATCTTTATTAATGATATTACTGAATTACTCTACTCTACTCCCTCAGAATATAAACTTCTTGTTCTTTGGTAATAATGTCAACCTGTACAATAATGATAATGGTACAAAAATACTTCGAACCGCTTTTTCTAATTTTATTGATTTTTGCTCAAAACATGGACTTAGACTTAATTTTGATAAACGTTTTGCAAAGTCATTTTTTAGATGTAATAAAAAAAGTTAATTCAGCCTATTTTGATAACAAATTGCAGCTACAATCTGTGACCACATTTAAAAATCGTGGTGTAACGATTTTTCTCATGGTCTTAGATTTTTGAAATATTTTAGTGTATGCCAGTCCTATCTGGTCACCCAATCAAAAGTATTTTTGTACCAAGCTTGAGAGAGTCCAAATTAAAGTTAAGATATGCTGCTTTTAAATTAAAAATCACTTTTTTAGATATTTCTTATGATCACTTATACTTCACCCTTTTCTGCCTAAACAGTTTTAAATAATTTTTTTAAATCTCTCTCTTCTTATAAAGTATATGATTTTTTAATATATGTTTAATTGATATATGTTTTTTCTATATTTTTATCTGAACAGTATTTGTCCTTGGTATTTTTATAACTTTAGATTTGTTACTTCTGTTGTATTTTTGTAAATGGGCTTCTTCCCAGTATATATTAATAAACAAATAAATAATGTACATCCTCCTGTAGACCAAAGTTAATTAGTTGGTGTCTCCTCCACTTCTTTAAAGAATGTGCACATTCTGTGTTGTACTGATCTTTTGTCTGCAGTATCATGATATGAATTCTGTCAGGATTCGAAGTTTTTTCTTGATTCCTTTAATTCATTTTGTGGCTTCTTTCCTAAGAAACCTCATCAGAAGGTCTTGGATTGTTTGCGTCCAATGGGTGAATTCCAAGGTTTCCTCATTTTCATTCTGTCTTATCTAAAATACTCATTGTTTTGAATCCCTATGCCACAAATGGTTCAGGACCTATCAGAGATGTACCTTTCCTAGTGTCAGCTTTCTCGTTTCCCTCTATATGTCCCGAGACCCAGCAGGGCTTAACTTCATTTTGCATACATACTTTATTTAGTTTTGCAATTCTTTGAGCTTAGTGCTCTGATGACTACCTGGCTATCTGACATGATAGCTACATTTTTGTTTTTTTACCCTTTGTTCAGGTTGAACTGAGTACATCTCAATTGCATAGATTTCATTCTAGACCATATATTTTCCCTGGTTATGAATCTTTGGTTCCAGGACTGAAGACTCCTGCCCTCACCTTCCTGGGTCCTACATCCAACATTCAGCAGACATGCTTTTTTTCGTTTCCTCTTTCGCTTTTATTCTTGGCTTTTCTTGGTAATAACAAAATTTTATTTGTTACATTAAAGTTTGAAATACTTAAAAATATTTTATTCATATGTCGTCTTTATTTGTTAACAAAAAATTGTAATTAATTACATTGATTATTTTATGCAATAATATTAATAATTTAAGTGCTTTTTTAATATGACCTCTTTACTCAATAAATATTTTGGTAATATATGTATTTTTGGTGTTTGAACAAGTTTAATTTTTTAAAATATTTTTTTGTTTCAGAACTTTCTAGAAATTTAATGTACATAGATTATTATGAGAAATTAAGATAAATTTCAATGGCAAGACCACTGTCCCCAAGCATGAGCAAATTATTCATGTTATAAATATTTAACATTTTCAAACATTTCAAGGCATGCGTGTTGTCCAAATTGAGTAAGTATATGTTTTATTAATTTCAGTAAAGTTTTTATTTTAACAAGCCTTAGTTTGAATTTTTATCACTACATTGTTTATGGTGATAGACGATGTTGTATAAACAATGCAATTTTACAAATTATATTTATAACTTTTAACCTTGGATTATTGCTCCATTGTTTATGGAGATAGACGAGTATGTATAAATAATAGATAAATAATGGATTTTAACAATTAAATTTTTAACTTTTAACCTTGGATTAATAGTAAACCAGTTGCAATTTTGTATTATTATTTTAATTTTTGGGCTTTGGAGTAACTATTTTTGACAAAGTTTGCTTAACTTCTGGCTGAATTTAGACCCATGATCCATATGCAAACATGTGCAAAAATAAAACAAAGAAAGACAGGGACAGGGAAAAAGTCAGAAGAATAGTAAGTCTTAGCAAAGCTGGTGTTCTTAAAACAACATCCACAGCTACAATGGGCCATACCCTCAAGCACCTTTACTTATATATTTAAAAGATGGCAGCGATTGAAGATTGAAAATTCATTGGTCAGTGGATAAAAAACGTGAAACAAAATTTTCAAAAAGTTAAAATAACTGACACGGCTAAAACTAAACACATCAGAGGAAATACTAGACTTCGAAAAGCCGTTCAACGTAGTTATTGAAGAGAAAGCAAAATGGAGAGATAAAAAAGAAAAACCATGGAACTTTTGGATGGTATACAGATGACAAATGGTACAGTAATGGGCATAAAAAGGTCTATGATCACCAAATGGCCCTTGGCTCTATCACAACCCTCTTTCAAGCTGAATTGCTAGATATAGAAAAATACATAACAATTATAATTTTTAAGCTCCAAGCCTACGAGATCAATTCAAAACTAGTCTGGAATTGCCTGAACCTAAAACATTGGTGTTTACAATTAGCTTGATGCTAAGGTGAGTCTCAGGTCTTGAAGTAATTTCAGGCAAGACAGAAGACATGATAGCTAAAAAAGGGAGCCTCGTTACAACACATGACCAAATCAATTTCATGACATTAATTACAGCAACATTAAAAAAAATGATTTGTAGTGGGTGTTTTGATCTTTTTTAAGATATTTGGTAGATTTAAATAACAGGAGAGATGGTCCTGTAGGTTTCTGAAAGCTGAAGAATCGGTCGTTCGTCCATAGAAATCTGGGGGTGAGGAAGAAATTAAGATATATTCAGTAACCATTATTCTATTCTGCATACGGTCTGAAGACTTAAAGTCTACCGCTTCTTCTGAACACCATAAATTAAGACTTTTTAAGGTCCATTAGTCAGAGAAAGCTTGGAATAATTTAATATGCTTTTGTAGTTCTGCCATTTATTGTTCCCTATGCTTATACTATATTCAAGAAGGAGGGGATTAAGTCGTCAATGAAAAGGGCAAATAGAATCGAGCTCAACAGGCAACCTTGCCTAATTCCAGAACATCAACAATTCAGAGAGACCTTACACAGATAACATTTTGGTAGAAGAGCCTAAATTGTTGAGGTCCAATAAAAGGCTTTGACGATCAACTCTGGGTTGGGTTTCTTTGATGTTCTTCAGGTAAGTAGACAAGGCATGTTTAGGAATTTTATAAAGAATTTTTGCTGAGGTTAAGTAATAACCAAGGGATTTTTTTGAGGAAGTTTGGTGATAATGATTTGTAAAAAAGGCAGGAGAATGTTCAAGTAGCTTTCACTTCGATGGTATGTTGTCAAGTATGTCAGGATACGAGTGAACGTATTACATAGGTGCTTCAAGCATACAGACGCTCTTCATTTGTATAAACTGTAATTGTCAATGCCACCGGGTTGTAGACATCATCGCCTTCTCCTTCCGCCCGACAGTTTTTTCCCTTGTGCAAGCATTTGTTCATGTCTGTCATTCCGGGATCCTACTACCTACTACCTCATCTTAAATCTAATACCTTGCTAATAATGGACAAACTCTAGAGGTGTCAACCATTGATAAAGAACCCTCACCAAAACTGCCAAACTCATTGCTAGTTAGAGAGGTATTTAGGAAGTAAAAGGGTTCTATCACCAGTCACTGGCATCTGAGAAAACAACTTTGTTGGTAGATTCAACTATGACTCCATTTATAGGTTATGTATCCATAGTTACTATCTTGCGAATAACTCAATGGGGACATAACCAGGGACAAAAAAGAAAAAAACTAGAATTTTGGGTTACTAAAGAGTATAATAAATACAGGGAATATATGCCAGACATGAGGCAAGGAAAAAAAGACTACTAGCAAAAACAACTTAATGGGAAAAAGGTCAAATCCTACTCAATAAAAAAATAATTAAAACCCTTGCAGGTGCATAACGTGTCCCAACAAAATACCTCTTAAAAATGGGGCTATTAACAGATGACCAATGTTGAGCCAAGAAAAGAGCAGAGCATATATGCACCTGCTCGTGCAATATTTCAGAAAAGGCTATGGTACCTAGGAAAGCTATTCTTGAGTAATGAAGAAAATCTTGATATTACCCTATGATACACTTCATTATAGAAATGAAAATCTTCCAGGAAAACTATTAGCAGAGCTTGGACTCAGTAGACAGAAGTTTAACTGCAAATCTTTATAACTCCAAAAGACAAAAAAAAAAATAGAATCATTTGATTATGATCTTTCTTCACACGAAGCAACTCGTTTCACTCACGAGTGTAAAATAAAAATTAAAAAAAAAATATCCGTGCCACAAACTCAAACAAATTAATTGCCAAAAAACAAAAATCAGGACCTGACCCAAATAAATTACAATAACCTTCTAAGAATTTTAAAAGGATAAATTAAAGCTTTGGATGGCAATAGGATAGACTAGTTTATCAGTGAATGTTTGGAGTCAGAGCTTTATAGTACTCAGAAGGGATAGCTAATCTAAGATAGAAGGTTTGGATGTTAGGGTGTGAAATAACCTTAGCTGTTTAAACACCCTTAAAAATTAATAATAATAACCTTCTAAAAATAAATCTATTAAGATTAAAAAATAAAATAAAAATAAGTGGTCTATATACACAACTCCTTGCCATTTACAAAAAAAGCAGGTGCCTTCAACAACTTGAAAGAATCAGCAACAACCTTCCTCGTCCTTTTCAGTCTCAACTCGCACTGCCGAGCCTGTGGTTGGGGATTAGCTTATCCCAAAGGATAATCCTTGTTTTTGAAAATAGTGTTATGATTTAAATGCATATGCTTAGTTTTGCATATATGGACATTCTTTTGTCACTATGGGTTGGAAGAAGAGACAATCTTTTCATGAAATAGCGGAAAAAGGACTTTTCTGTTTTATATATTTAGCAATTGCTTCAATGGCTATTGTTGGTTTATAAATATCTAAATGAATAGTTATTTATTTCAGATGGGCTATTGATGGACGATAATCTGTATTGTAATATTGCCAAATGTAGACGTATTTTAACTGATGTTGCATTGGTGACACGGTGTTATCACATATTTTGTCTGGACCACGGTAAAACATATTTTTTCAACAATCTACCCCAAATAAACTGTCCAGTCTGCAATGAAGCTAATATCAAGGAAACGGACATAATCCAGTGTCAGCTCAATCCAAATGATGTGAGTTTAATTGTTTATTGGGCTAAACCTACCCTGTTTGTATCTTTTTTTTTTTGGTAAGTTGATACTTGGAGGACTTTCTCCTGACAAAGCAATAAGCGCTGTAATCAGTTGTATTAAATTGAGGAGAAATCAACATCAAGCCAGTCAAGAATACAAACTGGCTCAGATTGACAATCTAAATAAAAAACTTTACGAATATAAAAAAGCTGTAAAACAAATGAAAAGTGCTCATAACACAGAGCTTTCAGGTGAAGTACAAATTATTTAAAAAAAAAATTGAATATAGATTACAACCATAAATTTTACAGCTCTCAAATCTTGCTACAATGAAATGGTAGGTAAACTGAATGCTATGGCACAGGACTTAGAAATTGCAAGAGAATCCGCAAAGAAATACCAAGTATTTGAATTTATTAGAAAAACCTAACTTTTATTTTATTTTAATTTAAATTTCAGGTCGCTTACAATTCCCTTATGCTTTCTAATCAAAATCACACAAGTAAATTTTTCAACTGTCCATCCCCTGTTGATTCTCAGCTTTTTCCTGGCAGATACAATTCCTCTCCTTTAAAAGGTACCGAAGTTTTTTTTCACCTTCATTCTTTCAAAACCAAGATATGATAGATACATTTAATTTACAGCTCACAGCACAACGCCCAGTCTGATTACAAGTGATAATTTTCTAACAAGGCACTTCAATATATAAATTTTTCATTATTAATACCGTTACAAATGTTTATCCTTTTTCACTACCTCTAAACTGTATTACGTACATACGTTCTTGTATGTAAAATATATAAAAATAATGTTTTGTGTTAATAAAAAATGTCTTTTTTTACTTCTTCCATATTAGCCAGAGTATGAACAATAATGAGATTTTTTTGGGAAGGGGTCTGGATAGAAATTCTATGGGTTATGGTTGAATTGAACCCAAGACTGCAGGATCTATGATTCAAGAGTCTGATGTACCACTCAGCTACCGCATTCCCCATCTTAATTGAAAGTTTTCTTTAAATATGTATTTCAAAAGCATCTTTACCCTGGTAGATTAATGGTACATGGCATGCTCCCCCTCAAAGCGAGATAGTAGAGATGTCCGGTGTCATGGTACTGGATATCCCGATGATGCCAATATCCTTTCACCTCCCAATACAAGTCAAGTCTGGTAACATTCACTCCCCCAGAGTACTTAATATTCCTTGGAGCGAGTTTAAACCCTCCATTCATGTTAATAAATTACTTTCACTCTTAAGACAACACACTCATCCCAGAGTAAACTATTTTTACTCCCCCTTGGGTAGGGGATCATTCACACTAATAATTTACATTCACACCAACATAAAACACACACTAATAGTTCATTTAAAACCTGTTATACCCTGAGGTACTGAAACAGCAAACCGTGCCACTGCTAGGAATTGCGGCTCTTCCTGCAAGTTTCCTGCATTGTAAAATATGTTCAATGCCTAATCTTTCAATACAATGAGGTTTTCTTTCTCACCAAGTGGCTATGTGGCCAGGTATGACCTATGCGTAACTTTCCCTTCTTAATATGGCCTCCGTTGACCAGGACCCAATACCAGTCTTTATCTGCCATAAGGCAGCTTGTTTCCCAGTGATTTTCTTACTATCTTATATCTGCCTGGCAGACAAGGGATAATGTGGCCTCTTTGTCTTCTTCTTCATTCTCGGCTATCCCTGTATGCCCAGAAATCCAGACCAGCACTTCTTCCCATCGGCATTGAACACTTTTAATTGTTCGTATATTTTATTTATAAGCAAATAGAGTGAATCCATTCATATTATAAAGGTTTTCCTTGTTTTTGATGTATTACACTCAACACGGTGATTATGACATTTAGTTCTTCAGCGTATGCTCACTGTGGGACAAAGGGACATCTCTTCTACCTACCCCTCCATTTACATAGCGCCTTTGACTAATCTGTGAAGATGTCAGGAAACTTTGTCATCACGGCGTGAATTTTTTTACAGACGTAGTGTGTCACTTTACTTGTACTTGGCCATATCAAACAATGTGATAAAACATTATCATCATCACATAAGCATATTTATCTCTGTAACAGAAATAAATTGCTGACTCAATGAATAAAAACAAACTTTTAATTTCTTAAATTTAATATTAATAATTAATCCATTTAAGTTTTAGTGGTCAATTGACCAAGTTACTTCTTTCAATAAATTGTACTAAAAATTTAAATCATTAATTCACTATTTTCGTGGTCTGCTTGACCAATTAATACATGACAATTAATTAAGGTTTTTAGTTGAGATGAAAAAAAGCTAATGGCACAAGAGGGATTCGAACCCACGACCTTCGGCTAAATACGCTGCTGCTCTACCACCTGAGCTATTATGACCTCAATCCACTTGGACATCACCATCTCAACCCCACCATATGAGTTTTCCCTCCTTTTTGCATTTTTCTAATGTCATGTAATCGGTTTGGAAAGGAGGGAAAACTCATAAGGTGGGGTTGAGATGGGGAGTTGATGTCCGAGTGGATCGAGGTCACGATAGCTCAGGTGGTAGAGCAGCGGCGTATCTAGTCGAAGTTCGAATCCCTCTCGTGCCATTATCTTTTTTTCATCTCAACTAAAAACCTTAATTAATTAAAAATTTAAATTTTTACATAAGGTTTTGGTTGAAATAAAAATGTCAATGTCATGAGGAGTCGAACTCATGACCTTTGGCTAAATACGCCGCTGCTCAACCACTTGAGCTATCGTGTCTTCGATCCTTTTGGACACTAACTCTCCATCTCAACCTACAACCATTCGAATTTTCCCTCTTTTTGCCATTTTCAAATGTCATGTAATCAGGATTCGATTCTCAGCGACTTATGAAGTGGCCATGGGGAGCTGTTAGTGAAGTGATACTTCCTTTACTTATTAAATATTAATCCATTTATGTTTTAGTGGTCAATTGACCAAGTTATTTCTTTCAATTATTCTTTTTTACATAAGGTTTTGGTTTAGATAAAAAAGTCAATGTCACGAGCAGGATTCGAACCCAAGACCTTCAGCTGAATATGCCTCTGCTCTACCACTTGAGCTGTCGTAACTTCGAGCCGAAAGTTGTGGGTTCGAATCCTGCTTGTGACATTGACTTTTTTATCTCAACCAAAACCTTACGCAAAAAAGAATAATTAATATTGAAATCTAGAACATCTTTTATAGTAATTTGAATAAATAAATATCATATCTTCATTAAGATTGGAAAATTCCTATTGGAAGTTGTTTGGACAAAGCAGGCATGTAATAAAGGCAACAATAGATATTAAAAATAAACTGATCTATTAATAAGACAATGAGACTTGATATACAATATTAATTTATAACAAATATTTAACTATACATACATATTACAATTATTTATTTATGTCTTAACATTAAGAGGCTGGACGTCTAGCTCTTTTAATAACTCGTCTACAGGTTGTTCCCACCTTTTTTCAAAATAAACATTCATGAAAAATTTACTTGTCATCCCTGTTTTGATCGCCCAAGGCAAATGCGTTTGCACGTATTTCTTCCTCTGTCTAAAACAAGTCATCACACATAAAACAAAATTGAAAAATTGAACTTGTATGATAAAAAATAATTACTTTGGAGAAAGACGAATCGCACCCAACAACCCTCCGCCTATACACATCGGAAGTCTTGTCTGAATTCCTTCTATCCACTTTACAGTCACTTCCCCTAATTAAAACATCCAATTTTATTTAAAAATATATTTTTATTAAATAAAATGAAGACAAACCGAGCATATTTGTAGGCATGAAAAGGATTGCGTGTATTAAATCATGAACTTCCCTGTACCTCTGCATGACATACGCTAGTTCTTTATCATCCACAAATTGGACCGGAGCGCGAGAATCTGGTGTGACATTCTGGAAATGTTTCATTTTCAACGTTCATTTTCAATAAAATAATACAACCCTACAGCTCACGTTTTTCTTTAAGAAGCCGATATACACCTCTCCCAAAGTCCCCTTCGGTAAAGTTGATAAATACTTCAAATCGACTGTTTGGGAATTTATTCGAGGCTGAGTACTATAACAGATAAATATGCAAATGTAATTTACAAATTTAAAAAAAAAAATTAAGACATTACTTCAAAATCTCCACTCCCTCAGGGCTTGATTCCATTTGATTTTTCATATACACTAGTGCCTTTTGACCAGTCGTCTCACCCAAAGTTGCAATCATATCTGTAAAAGACTTACACAAATATAAATTAGACAAGGTATCAAGACCAAAAACCAAGTATTTAGCCTAATAGACAATTTTCATTACAGTAAAAAAAATACAATAAATAAAGTAATACAATAAAGTACAATACATAAGCACAACAAGAAATAATGATGTGTAGGATCTGTCAAATCTTTCAAAATACCACTGGACCAATAAAAAAAGAACATAACACAAAACCACTAACACATAATAGTTTTATTTTTCATTTTTTACTTACAACAGCTTGTTTTAATGAAAATTGACTCCTGACACTTCTAACGGAACGCTTTCTGTAAATCTTCCACAATAGTTTTTCAAAAAGCTCGGTTGTTCACTACCGACAACCTAAACTTTTTTCAAAATTTTTTTTAATACCAGGAAATGGAAAAGTTCTTCCCCTGAGCACTGCAGCTTTACAGATTTTTGTTCTCCTGGCTCCATTTTTCGGGAGATCGCTACAACACGTGTGCCAATTGGGTTACAGGCATGCAGGTCTATCGAAGAAATTAATTTTTGAAGGAGGTCAGGATTGAATTCCTAGTCGATGAGATCTGATCCCTGGATCTTGGTGAGTGCCGTGTCAACTTTCACCCTTATACGTCAGGAAAATCCAGAGGTGATGGTGGGAATCAAACCCACGGGGTCTGCTCGCAAATCTCGACGCCTTAGCCACTTGGCTACTGCGGTCCCTTTTGCGGGCTTATATCGCCACCAAAAATGTTCAAGGTAACACACATTCAGTTTTACACTTGGAAACTTTTGGTACTGTCCATCATAAAACGGGCATACTCGACATCAAACATGAAGCATTGGGAAATATTAATTTCCATAAAAATCTCATAAAATCATTACTAAAACAGTGACTATTTTAAGACATACATTATGCATTTAGATGAGAATAATACAACCAAAATAATATGGAGATTTGTACTGAAAATAAAGCTGAAATAATATTTTAGAAAGACAAGCTTGTTTTAATAATGAAATTCTTCATTAGGCAGAAAATTCTTTACCTCCTCTGGCCGGATCTAGCAAAGAGACTGTCGTCGCTCCAAGGGTTAAAATGCATTTTTGGAAAAAACTGGTCTGGATGTGCCAGGATTTGAAATCGGTCGAAAAATCCGGATGGGCCTCTGTTGAAAGGAAGCGCAAACCTTTCTGCAGGTATCTGGCCCGATTCATGATTTTTAAAATTAACTTTTTTGTTATTTTTTATTTTGTGCTGGAATAAATGACAAAAACTTAATATTGAAGAAGTAAAGATTAACCTCCCCTATCTGTGATGTTTCATATAGCCCATAAATGATATCATTGAGTTCTAACAAAGGTCACTTAAACATGTTATGGTGAAGAACGAATTTTCCAATTTCTGCCAATAACATCAATTTTTCTTTTAAAATTCACTTTTATTTCGTATCTTATTTAATTGAAAAAGTCTGCCTTCAAAAATATAGTATTTTTGTTACAATGAACAGGTGACATTTAAAAATCTATCCTACTGAAAATTCAATCTATAAAATTTTTAGAAGGGAAAATTAGATTACCTGGGTGATTTAAAGATTTATAAAATTGGCCCCTTTGAAGAAAAGTTAAAAAAGCTGTACAAAATTCTAATTTTAATTTTTTTTTAAGTCGTCAACCATTTAGGCCAACTTGGCATCAACAATATTTTTCTTTTACACAAAGATAGTAGATAGATTGATAATATAGTTTATTGAAAAACTATACAACATGGTAATACTACTGTCTGCGAGGGTTGCAATAATACAGTAGCATGATTAATAAGTTACATATACAAATGTTATTATAATAATAGAAAGATAGTAACAATAGTAAGTATTTTGTATGTAATTCCATATTCTTTTTGCTAAAGATTACAACCATATTAATCAGACTGAATAGAGAAAATAGAGAAGCAGAGTAAAAATACTTTGATTGAATATTTAAAAAAAACGTATATTTTTTTTGCATTGTATAAATTCACTTTTTTTCTACATCCTACAAGTCTTTGTTAAATTTAAACAATATTTGTAAATCCCAGGGCCCTGAAGATGATCTCAATAAAGATCGAAACGTTGGCACGATAAAGAAAATGTTTTTCTGAAACCTACATCACACCAGACCGCATCTGACGATTTCTGAATAATTAATCAGACTTTTATCCAAATCGAACCTCTTGCTTCAATGGTTCAATTTTTTTTTTCTGCACAATTTCGATTATATGAAGAATATTGCATACATTTCCAAATTTGAAACATTTTTGATTACTGAAAAAAAATTATGCAACTACAAGACATAAGAAAAAACCCTACAAATATTGTATTAAGTAAATATATTCTATATAAGCCTAATTTGTCATTGAAGTCACTTGTTGGAGAAGGTGCCAGTGAATGAAAATAACATTAATTAATTGATTTATGTGAAGTTTTATTAGAGTTTAAACTATATATAAGAAATAATTCATACATAAATAATAATATATAATTTTCAATTAATTAAGGATTTGGTTGAGATAAAAAAGTCAGTGTCACAAGCGGGATTCGAACCCATGACCTTCGGCTAAATACACCGATGCTCTACCACTTGGGCTATATATAAATATAATATATAAATATAATATATAATAATTTAATTACTCTTCAGTGCTTTAATTTATATCATTGAGTAAAGTATGGATATAATTAGTTTTATTATGAAAACAATGTAATTCATCAATATCTTACTGTAACTCGGTTAATGTATGTATTTTTCGATAAATATGCCCTGAGGATGGCAATGTAAATTGCCGAAAGCTAGTTGAACCCAAAAAGCCTACTTCGTCACAAAGACCTATGAAGATACCTCAAGAAAAAATTCTAATGTGATTACTGACAAGTCGATAAAAACTCCAAATATAATTTGATAAAAATTTCATACGGTGTATCCAAGAATGTTCAGGTAATTTTAGTGGTAATTGGAGTGCGAATAAATCATCGAAGAACATTTTCTATTGAATACTTAATATTTTCTGATGCTGTATTATAAAATCGGACAGACCATAGCCTTATACACTTATAGAAGTACTTATAATTTTTTCTGAATCCTTAAAACTTTTTAGGGTAGTTCTACGTAAGAAATCTAAAATTTGATTTGTCTTATTAATTATTAAGGTGCAAAATTATTTAAAAAAAAGAACAAGCAAATTATTTAAAAAGAACTAATTAAATTTAAATTAAATAATTACTAAATTTAATTAAAAATAACTTTAACTTAAAAAATAAATAAGTATAGTAATAATAGTAATAATAATAATGCTTGAAACTCTATGATGTCACTGTCTGTATACAGACGTGCCTCTCCTGCTGAGACTTGCGCTGAGTCGCCCTTCCTCACAGTCCAGTCTTTTACCACCACCACCACCACCACTGCACGATAGACTCTCGTTGTCTTACTCATTTGAAAATGATTAAGACTCAGTTTTAAGGCGTGGACTTAGCCATCTCAAGTTCCGGCGTAACGTTCTCGAACATTTCTCAAAATCCCGTTAATCTTTTTTAACCGGCTTTTCGCCAAACTGGATTTAAACCTGGAAAAATGACTGGACGACTACCGGCTTGTGTTATTGACGTGGGAACTGGGTTTGTATTTCAAGCATTAACTACATTTTCTATGCGCTACTGCATCGCCTGTTTAATTTATATGCCTATTTTTATCGTCTTGTAAATGTTTTATTTTAGAGATTCATTAATGGACTTGAAATTTTCCTGTTTTATTCTCACTTGATGGACCATGTTTAACCTTTGTCTCTTCCTTGCATTACAAGCGTTTCTTCTACAGATCAGTGTTTTTCTGTAAAGTCGATTTATACAGAAAAACCATTTATGTTGAAACCTCCGGTATAAATTCACTCGCAAAAATGTTTCAGTGTTCTAACAATTTTTTTACTCATTCTTTATCTTCGTTGTATTAGTCATAGCACCATAATTTTTGTCCACTTTGCTTTTCTATGGTATCCAATGAAAATGCTTTTTCCATGGGAGTGACTATCACTTTACATCGACCAAGATAAGAAATGGCTCAATGTGGAGTGGCCAATAATCTTTTCATACGTAAAATTATTACCCTATAAATTTTGTTATTTACTGTTTGGTTGTCTGGAAAATAATCCAGGATTTTATACAGATTTTAGACATTTTTTTATTAATTAAAATACTCCAGCACTCTCAATACCCTTCTCCCAATGTAATGGCTACTTCTGTATACATTCTGAACACAATTTTGAGTCTTAATAACTACAAATCCTGTAAAGGCATTTTCTAATGATTTTTGATAAATAAATTTTTTATCCATGTTAGTTTAGTGGCCATAGTTAACCATATTATTCAGAAATCGTGAGATGCGGTCTGGTGTGATGAGGTTTTCATTTATGACAAATACTTTTTGATTTTTTGAACATTTTTTATAGAAAATCTTTATATTTTAACGGTATGTCGTTAAAAAGCTACGTTCCTTAAAATCCTTTTAGGCGTTTTTGACTTACACCCGTTTCAACTATACATCCCGATGGCTTCTTAAAAATTGGAAAATTTTTTGAGGTCATAAAATAGATAAATTTAAATTTAAATAAAAATTTATATCTAGGGGTCTGTAGAGAAAACTAAATTTCATAATTATTCAGAAATCGTGAGATGCGGTCTGGTGTGATGTAGATTTTAGAAAAACATTTTCTTTATCGTGCCAACGTTTCGACCTTTATTGAGATCATCTTCAGGGCCTGGGAATTACGAACATTGTTTAAATTTAACAAAAACATGTAGGATGTGGAAAAAAGTGAATTTATGCAATCCAAATAAATATTTTTTTAAATATGTCAATCAAAGTGTTTGTTTTCTGTGTAATTGTGCCATTCTTGCATGTTGTGTTGAGAGTGACAGTGAGATATTGCTGTTTTATGTTTATGTAACAACACGACACGCAAGAATGGCACAATTACGCCGAAAACAAACACTTTGAGTGAGTAGAAATACTTTGATTGAATATAAAAAAAATATTTATTTGCATTGTATAAATTCACTTTTTTCCACATCCTACATGTTTTTTTTTAATTTAAACAATGTTTGTGAATCTCAGGCCCTGAAGATAATCTCAATAAAGATCAAAACGTTGGCACAATAAAGAAAATGTTTTTCTGAAACCTACATCACACCCCATCTCATGATTTCTGAATAATCATTGACAAACGGACACTAATCACCACACATTAACCATATTATTTATTCCAATTAATTATTCTTTTTATCTAAGTTTTTGGTTGAGGTGAAAAATTAGTGTTATGAACTAGGTTGGATGGATTCGAACCCACAATCTTCAACTCAATACGCCGCTGCTCTAACCACTTGAGCTATCGTGACTTCAATCCCTTCGGACACCGACTTTCCATCTCAATGTATAACAATCCCGCTCGTGACACTAATTTTTCATCTCAACCACAAACCTTAAATGAAAAGAATAATTAATTGGAATAAATTTTTTATGTTGTAAAATGTTGTCCAGGTATCTGAACAAATGGTAGTCGGTAGGCTTGGAGAATAGAGAGGGTGAGGCAGAACCTCATAATCAAGATCCAACAGTTTTCGAGTTGCCACATGTGAGACATGGGGCTGACCGTAACAGAATCGGCATTTTCCAGTTGGCCAAAGATGGCTTCAGTAATGCCAATTTCTGGTGCATTGCTTCAGTTTGAGAGCAATACACTTCGGCATTGATTGTTTCACCAGAATTCAAGAATCTGTAGTAAATTAGCCCGAATGAACCCCACCACAGATTCACCATCACATTTTTTTTAATGACTTGGGGCTTATTTATTCCTTATTTTTCAAGCCATTGTCCAAAACATCTTGGGTTATTGTAGATTTGTATAGGCTCAAATCCGCGCATGTACGCATAAATGTGCCGAGTTGAGTTTATTGGCTTCTTTTGGTCCGCTTTTGCTATTTACAGACTCGAGAATTACCCATCTCGGTTGTTGGCATTACGGGAGCAGACCTCAGTCTTATCCATCCAGCCACCAAGGATGGGCTCAAGGTGCTATCAACAGCTGGGTTAATTCAGCACCCAATGCGTGCAGTTCCAAACTTCATGCTCACGTTCATTCTTAAATCACTCCTACTTAACAAACCATTCATTCAGTTAGAATTAGGATGATGGAGTACTCGATATTCCTCCATCATCTTTTTCACATATACAACTAACTTAACAGGGTCGATGGAGGTAATTGATATTGCGATATTGATATTGCATCACACATTCACACTAATAAATACATTCAGAAAAGGTTCGTATCTGTTTCGACAAAGAGTGTTGTGCAAACTTCATAACGATGATTTTTTTTTTTTGGGGGGGGGGTCATTTAATGCGTGAGGAACCCAACTTTCAAGCTTTTTTCACCTTTTTAATTGCCTTAAGGTAGTGGCGGTAGATTTGCTAACTGAAACAATGTCTGAAACTTCTCGAACAATTTTGGGATTTTCTTCGATCAAAGCTCACAGAACGTAATCATCTTGGAAAGAAATCCTTCCATGACCTTCTTTGCCTCGAAAAATAAAGTCTCTCTCTTGAAATTTTTTAACCATCTCTGAACAATGCTCTCACTCGCACTGCCATTGCCCCAGACTTCTTTAATGTTTCTGATCGTTTTGGCACTGTGCTGACCCATAAAACGAAATTATGCATCATGTGTTCACATCTTTGTAAAGACTGAATTATTCCAAAGTATTGAGGTAAATAAATATTTTTGTTTGGAAGAGAATTAAAAGAATAATCCATCAAACATAAACATTTTATTATATAGAGAGGTAATTAAAAAAAAGCATTATTTTCCGGACAACCCAATACATTTAATAAGTAATACATAAATCACAAGTTAGACAAGAACATAGGAATCAAGACAATTTTGTTCAATTCTGTGATTATTTGTATATCCAGTTAATTTGTTTAAAAAGTTCATTATTAATAGATAGATTTTCATTTTTATTTTAGCTGGTATGTTTCATTATTAATTTATAAGGGGACCGCTGTGGCCGAATGGTTAGGGCATCTGACTCATATTTGCCATGCTAGCAGTTTTGGGTTCGAATCCCAGCATAGCTCATGGTTAATTGATAATAGTATGCAAGGGTTCAACTATGAGGCTATATAAAACCTTGGGGTGCCAACATTAAAAAAAAAAAAGCCCATTTGTAAGTATAGTGGGTTCAAATTTAGGGCTGCTGGATTCAAACCTTAGACCTTTTGAGAATAGAAATGAGTTGTCGTGTCAACACCTTAACTATTGCTACCACCGACGCCCATTTATTCATGTTTATAAATCATTTTTGAACAAAAGTTTAATATTGAATTAATTTAAATTGTGTAGTTTGGTCGCTATCGATCTCATTTCATCAGCTCTACCACAGGAAGAAATATTACCATATTAAGATTGTGTTAATTTTTGTGGCATGGCAGAAAAATATAAACAAGACACCCCAAGCAAACAGCTCCTCACCATAGTCCAATTGACAATTTCAAATCTGATGGAAATGCGAATTTAGTTTGTATAGGAAATCACTAAAAGTCAGGATTGAGTGAGAACGAACTCGACTTTTTTTTTTGGGGCTTTGCCAATTTGTGCTGTGATACTTTATTTATATGTTCACTAGTTTTTGTGGTCTGCTTGACTAATTAATACCTTTCAAGTAATTAAGGTTTTTGGTTAAGTTAAAAAAGTCAGTGTCATGAGCGGGATTCGAACCCACGACCTTCGGCTAGATACGCCGCTGCTCTACCACTTGAGCTGTCGTGACCTTGATCCTCTCGGACACCAACTTCCCATCACAACCTACAACCGTTCGAATTTTCCCTCTTTTTGCCATTTTCATTCCCGCTTGTGACTGACTTTTTTATCTAAACCAAAAACCTTAATTACTTGAAAGATATTAATTGGTCAAGCGGACGTACATTGTAAATCCCTTCATAATTCATCAACCCAAAGTTTGTCATATAATTCATTCTGGTGAACGTTGCAGCAATATCTACAATTAATTAAGGTTTTTAGGTGAGATAAAAAAGTTTGGGATTCGAACCCACGATCTTCGGCTAGATACGCCGCTGCTCTACCACTTGAGCTGTCGTGACTTCGATCCTCTCGGACACCAACTTCCCATCTCAACCCCACCTTTTTGAGTTTTCCCTCATTTTTGCCATTTGATTGGATGGAGGTTACAATAGGTCAAGTGGTAGAGTAGCGGCGTATCAAGCCGAAGGTTGTGGGTTCGAATCCTGCTCGTGACACTGACTTTTTTATCTCAACCAAAAACCTTTATTTATATGGTTGGTGGAGGAAAAAACCTTTTTCTCTATAAATTTTTATTATCATCTTTTATTTGATTAATAATTGAATATATTTATATGATTATACATGAAACACATTACCTTAAATGTATTATAATTTTTTATAATAGATTCACTGTAGATCTTGAATTGATGGATTTTACATTACAATTTACTTAATGTTATTTTTGCAGGTACACAAAATTAGGATTTGCTGGAAACAAAGAGCCCCAGTTTATAATCCCATCTGCCATCGCAATAAAGGAAAGTGCTAAAGTTGGCGAGCAGGCGATCAGGCGATTAACGAAAGGAGTGGAAGATTTAGATTTCTTCATTGGAGATGAAGCGTTCCAAGCTCAAGGATATGCAGTCAAAGTAAGTGTAACAAAGGAAAATAAAAAATAAACAGAATTTAATTGGTTTAATTATAGTATCCAGTACGGCACGGTCTGGTGGAAGATTGGGATTTGATGGAACGATTTTTTGAACATTGCATATTTAAATATCTTAGAGCTGAGCCAGAGGATCATTACTTTTTATTGACTGAGCCCCCATTGAACACTCCAGAAAATCGGGAGTATACAGCAGGTTAAATCATTTTATAGTTTTCTTTAAATTTTAAATAATAATTTTTTTTTTGTTTAATAGAAATTATGTTTGAGTCATTCAACGTCCCAGGATTGTACATAGCAGTGCAAGCTGTACTTGCACTGGCTGCATCATGGGTTTCTCGTAATTTAGAAGAAAGAACACTAACTGGGATTGTCGTCGACAGCGGGGATGGTGTCACTCATGTTATCCCAGTTGTAAGTACAATAAAAAAAAAAGTGTGAATCATCTCAAATGATATTTAATTACAGGCTGAAGGCTACGTGATCGGAAGTTGCATTAAACACATTCCGATCGCTGGGAGAAACATTACCTACTTCATACAGTCTCTTTTGCGAGAAAGAGAAATCGGCATCCCTCCCGAACAGTCAATGGAAACGGCGAAAGCCGTGAAAGAGCGGTATTGTTACATATGTCCCGACATAGCTAAAGAATTCGCTAAATACGATCAGCAGCCTAGTAAGTGGATAAGGAATTTCCAAGGGATCAATGCCGTCACAAAAGATCCCTTCGATGTAGAAGTCGGATATGAAAGGTTCTTGGGTCCTGAAATATTTTTTCATCCTGAGGTAATTTTTGTTATAATTTATACCGGGTGTTCCAGTTCCTTCTGATGAAACTCAGGGAATTGATACTACTCTTCGTTTGGAGCAAAAAATGCCCAGGAGAAAATTTTCGTAAAGTTCTCTATTTTGAAGATATTCGTCAATTTAGGTTTTTTCAACTTTTCACTACCTTACCACATAAAAATGCTTACAACTTCCAAAATGTTGAAACTACAACAAATCCAATTACACCATTTGAAAGAACGCTAAATTTGCTGTAAGATACTTCTATTTGCAATAATCTGAATGGCATAAAATGTTAGCCAATATCAGTTGGAATATGTCAAAATTACAAAAGTTAAAATTTTGGTCATGATTGCAGGTCCTACTGAGGTTACAAAAAAATACCTACAACTCGTCAAATTTCACAAAAACTCCTTCATCTAATATGCTTTACGTTGATATATGCATGTTTTTAAATAACGTTCTAGTAGAGTTGAAAAATAACAACTGAATGTTCGAAAACGTGAACTAAGGTAAATTTGAAGGTGGTGGGGTAGAAATAAATCAATTAGAACTCGCTTTGTAAAATAAAAATGACACTTGTTTGACCGATTGAATGAAAAATGCTGGATGGGATCAAAGTTTAAACAATAATCATCACAGAATGTATCAGGTAGGGTGTGTTACTGAAACGTGAATTTGTTTGCAAAGTGTGCACAGATGTGTCATTTTTATTTTACAAAGCGAGTTCTAATTGATTTATTTCTACGTCCCCCCCTTAAATTTACCTTAGCTCATGTTTTCACATACAGCAATCATGACCAAAATTTTAAATTTTGTAATTTTGACATGTTCCAACTGATATTGGCTAACATTTTATGCCATTCAGATTATTGCAAATAGAAGTATCTTAAAGCAAATCTAGCGTTCTTTAAAATGGCATAATTGGATTTGTTGTAGTCTCAACATTTTGGAAGTTGTAAGCATTTTTATGTGGTAAGGTAGTGAAAAGTTGAAAAAACCTAAATTGATGAATATCTTCAAAATAGAGAACTTTACTAAAATTTTCTCCCGGGCATTTTTTACTCCAAACGAAGAGTAGAATCAATTCCCTGAGTTTCATCAGAAGAAACTGGGACACCTGGTACATACTGTTAATTTTTTTAATTGTGAAAGTAGTTGATATTGTGGATAAAGAGAAATTTTTCTGATCCGATACATGTCATCAAGAGTAAAAATCAAATAAATTTAGACAAAAGTAATAAATAGAGTACTAAGGCCATTCATAATCACAAGTAAGCTGAACCCATTATTTAAACAATAAAAAATATACAAAATAGTACTAGAACATGAAATTGTTATTTATGCATACTTGATTGTACAATAATAAATTGCTAGTTTTACAAGCATGCACAAATATTTATAAATACGAAGTTTCTTTTCAAATTGTAGTTCAATTATTTTGTAATCTGTTTCAAATGTTTTTTTAATTTTTTAATTATTAGTTCTCAAACCCGGATTTCACTACTCCAATCTCCGAGATTGTAGACACTGTGATACAAAACTGCCCAATAGATGTAAGAAGACCTTTATACAACAACATCGTCCTATCTGGAGGTTCGACAATGTTTCGCGATTTTGGAAGAAGGCTGCAGAGAGATATTAAAAGAGTGGTCGATGCCAGGCTAAGCCTTTCGGAAAAGCTATCGGGAAATCACTTAAAGGTACCTTGTATAATGACTTCATCACGATAAATTCTAATCATTATTTTTCTCCGGTAGCCAAAGCCAATAGACGTCCAGGTGGTATCTCACCACATGCAGAGGTATGCTGTGTGGTTTGGCGGAAGCATGTTTGCATCAACGGTAAAAATTGAAAAAAACAAAAAAACAATGAGCATGTTCACTAATATTTATTTGTTTTTAGCCCGAGTTTTACCAAGTATGCCACACAAAGGAAGATTATGAGGAATACGGCCCTAGCATTTGTCGCCATAACCCTGTGTTTGGTACAATGACATAGGTTCATACAATACAGTATATTTTGATAATGCATTATTTATCAGTGCAATTTTTATATAATTCATTTTCATCTCTAGAAAGAGCACAAATACAATATTTATTATTAAATGGATAAAAATGAACTTTTTACAAACTGTTTGGTTTATCGAATATCAGTACTGAGCTCATCTGAATCATTGTACTGAGATTAATTACAAAAAGAAAGTAAACATGCTACCCATATTACAAAATTTCTCATCAATTTTGCATTATAAATCAATTATACATTATGTTAAACTGTATATATTGTATAAGAAGAACATTTTTGCCATTTTAATAGTTTTATTGTCATTAATGTTAATAAAATGTTATTACTTCAATTGTCTAATTTATTGGAGTTTTGATTATTTAATTTTTTTTTTAAATTTACGGTTGAAAGAGTTGTGTTTAATAGTATTTATTTATAGGTATTACATATATATTTGTAGAATTTATATCTATGCATTTTTTTAAACAAGCTTTTTATTTGTTTATTAATATACAATATTTACCAGAATGGTGCATTTTTTAGAATCTCATTATGTACAACTTTGTTTTTACATTGTTGACTTTTGTCAAGTTCATTGTTTAAAAAAACAGGCCTAAGTCTTTTATTAACCAATCAATCAAAAGACACCAATTTTTCTTTCTTTTACATCTTCAATAAGGAAGATACGCGCCCACATCATAAGCAGCTTTGTGTTGTTGACAAGTGTGCCCAAACACCTTTATGACTTTTGATTTGTTGATTAGGATCATAACTTTTATCTATTTTGCATCCTTCTTTCAGTCTTTTTTTTAATGTGGTTTGTGATCACATCAAAGAATTTTTTTATTGGACACAAAGCCTGGCAAGTTCAGTAGATCACACATCTTTTCTCCTGGAAAGTTCCAGTCTTTTAATGATTTCCCCATTAAAAAAAAATTTCCTTGTGTTTGTGGTTTATTGAAACAAATAAATTGCGATTTACACACCCCATTTATAAAGGTGGCTCCAGACATGCGGGATTTTTGCCGAATGCCAAGAAAACATTTGCCGAATCTCGACTACTGGGAATGGGTGCTCAGTGATTCGCCGAGCAACAATATTCGGTGCTTGCCTTACTCGGCAATTGTTTGTTTTCTTGTCCGCTTCAAAGTGCACGAATAATCAACATCAAAAAACAGTTATTTATTTTTTTAATAATAATCAACACATTCATAGGTGTATTAATGAAAACAAAACAGATTTTATTTCTGTTGGCCCAACATAACAGTCTTGGAATTCCTCGATTTCAACCAAAAATTTGGAACGCTTCTCTTTTGAATTCAAAAATTGTAACAAGGTTTTTGATCCATGGAAATGAATTGAAAGTATATACTTCTATTTACTACTATTTATTTTTCAATAATAAACAATTTCTAACTAGTATAGTTGTGTTAATGAAAGAACAACATAATTGTTCATTTGGATCGATTAGGTTTCGTGGTCCGGTTGACCAAATAAATTATTTTCAATTAATTAATCTTTAAGTAAGGTATTGGTTGAGATAAAAAAGTCAGTTTCACAAGCGGGATTTGAACCCACGACCTTCGGCTAGATACGGCACTGCTCTACCACTTGAGCTATCTTGACTTCGATCCGCCCCAACACTAACTTCCCAACTCAACCGCATATTTTTTAAATTCATCTCGCAGATAAGCTGTAGATGCAATCTCCCTATCGTTATTTCACAATTAACAAAATATTGAGCTCGTTACTGTGAGCAACGACTGTAACTATTTTTTTAGACTTTTGATAGTTCCTTAGTTTCATAAATTTTTTGTGGATATTTTGACCAAATTTTATGAAGATTGATACAGGGAGTCAATTTGAAGTAGCAACAGGCCAAAGTCGCATACTCGCAACCGAAGCTTCAATTTGGATAAATCGAAAAAATATATACTTTTCAAATGTTTTTTTAGACTTTGATTTTTCCTTAGTTGCATAAATTTTTTGTGGATATTTTGACCAAATTTTATGAAGATTGATACAGGGAATCAATTTGAAGTAGCAACAGGCCAAAGTCGCAAACTCGCAACCGAGGCTTCAATTTGGATAAATCGAAAAAAATATACTTTTCAAATGTTTTTTTAGACTTTTTATATTTCCTTAGTTTCATAAATTTTTCTGGATATTTTGACCAAATTTTCCCTCCTTTGTGCCATTTTTCAAATGTCTTGTAATCGGATTGGATTCTCGACGACAAATGAAATGGCCAGGGAGAGCTTTTGTGAAGCATACTTCATTTTGCTTATTAAATCAAATAGGTTCCGTGGTCCGATAGACCAAATAAATTTTTTTCAATTAATTAATCTTTAAGTAAGGTATTGGTTGAGATAAAAAAATTCAATGCCATGAGTGTGAAGTCACGAGAGCTCAAGTGGTAGAGCAGCGGCGTATTTAACCAAGGGTCGTGGGTTCGAATCCCGCTCGTGTCACTGACTTTTTTATCCCAACCAATACCTTACTTAAAGATTAATTAATTGAAAAGAATTGAACATTTAGGCAGGAATATTATATTATGTATTATATTCCGATTTTCGTGGTTTAGCTCAAGACAACTTCCACTGAATGTTCGACTATTTTTCTTCAATCAATGTCCTTTGATAATAATAATGTCTTAGGGGATAAAAAAAAAAAAAAAAAATTGAAATATGTAGTATAAAAGCATAAATAAGAAAACAAAGGAAAAAGTTACTTAAGTATTAAACAATTTGTAAAATAAGAAAATAGCTTAAAAAATGTTTAATATGATGACATGTATGACATTGGCATGTATGTGCCATGTATAACAATATAACATGAAACATATACCTAAAAAAGATTACATTTATTATTATTTTAAATTTTCAAATTGTGATGAAAAATAATATATAACTAATATAAGAAACAATTACATAAAAATAAGTTGATTAAGTAAAAATAATTTTTATTTCGTGCATATTTAGGTGAATATATATTCAGTAAATATTTTAATTAGAAATAATGTATGTTAAATATGGAAAATATACATACAACTAGATACAGATACAGAAGTGCAAGTCAAATAAATTATATGAAAAATATTTTATTGTTATAGAAATGATGAAAGATAATTTAACATAAAATATATATAGTAATTCAAAATCTAACATGTCTGCACAGTTGACTGTAGAATGAAGAAAAAGAAGAATTAAATATTGTAAGATTTAATGGAAGTCGGAATGTTGGAAGTTAACAGCTGAACTCATCATTCTGTCAATAGGAGTATTTTTACTATAGTTAGGAGAAGCGGAGGAAATATGAAAAAGTCTATTATGCCTGGTCAAGTAGCTCGGTACAGAAAAGTTAATTTGACTGAATAAAAAAAGGACTGCCATAATAGTTACTCCTGTTTTATAGGCAAGAAGTCTTAGAAATTTAAATTGTACTGATTGAAGTTAATAAATAGATTTTGCAGTGTAGGGATTCAAAACAGGAGAATAGTATTCAAGCACTTACCAGCAATATGTTAAGAATGATCAAGGCATTTGGGTTGAGATCAGAAGAGTAACGGGATAAAAAAAAAACAACAGAATTTTTAAACTAGAGGATTTAATATGATCTAGGTGAGCAAAAATAACACAAAGTCTTTAGAAATAGTTTTAAAAGAAAGAGCATTATTATGAATAAAGTTGTAAAGATATAATTAGTTTTATTCCGATAAAAGCTCATAGAATAGCATTTATCAATATTAAGAAAGAGGTAGTTCTTTAAAGACCAGTGGTAAAGAGCATCCAAGTCAGTTTGAAGTAGTAATTGGTCATCTTTAAAGGTAATAGGCATGAAAAATTTTAAATCATCAGCAAAGAGAAGAGTTAAATATTTCAGAATAGAAGGAAAGCCATTGATGAAAATATTAAATAAGAGTGGAGAAAGATGAGCCCCTTGTGGAACGCCAGAAGAAATTATTACTTGAGATTGGTAACTACCTAATATAACAATTTGTTCTTGGCCAGATAACTAGAAATCGAGGATAAAAATCGTCCATCGTCTATCATGCATATCTACAATGATATAGAAGTAGTGGATGAATACAGGTCCTGGAAATTTGGAACAGTTTAAAGAAGAAAAACTAGGTGTAGAGTTAAAAATGATTTAAACAAATTAACACTAGAAGGTCCATCACAGCAAGTTGCATCTTTGTAAATCATGGTGTTAGGAATTAATTTACTAACTATTAATTAGCTGATCTAATGAAATCCAAAAGTTATCTCAATTCACAGAAATATTAACATTAATATCAGATATAAAATTGTTATACCACTTTTTAATTAATGGTTCACAATGACAGTTTATGACTAGTAAATTAATTACCATTATTTATATAAATTATGCGTTTGTTGAGTTGGGTTGGCAATGAATGACTTGTTCATTTTTATTTAGGCCACTCAATAAGTAAAGGAGAGAAAACTCATAAGGTGAGGTTGAGATAGGAGGTTGATGTCCGAGTGGTTCGAGGTCACGATAGCTCAAGTGGTAGAGCAGCGGCGTATCTAGCCGAAGATCGTGGGTTCGAATCCCACTCGTGCAATTAACTTTTTTCATCTCAACTAAAAATCTTAATTAATTGTAATCAATAAGTAATTTTAAGTAATCAACTTAGAAAAATATTTTATTTGCTTGTTTCTTATCTCTGAAGCTCATTGCAGTACATACTTTTTAAGTTGTGTAGATGCATGTCATGAGCCAGCTTTGGGCAATCGATGAAGAATGTTATTTGACTTCTGGAAAAATAAAAGATTGAACATAAAAGTTAATTCAGTTAAGCAGTAATGGGCAGTTAAGAAATGTAATAATTTATACAATAAATATACAATCAAAGAAATTCCTTCTGTACAGAATATTCAATTTCAGATCCGACATTAACAGTGAGTATGGTGTACCTCTGTATTTTCGAATTGTTCTGTAATGCATCAGGCATAAAAATTCAGTGTGGAAGGAGTCATGCCACCCCGGCACGAGGGACAGCACCACACAGGTAACTCTCGCAGTTCTTATATGTGTATTGTTTTAACTGTTATTAACTTAATATTTTCCTGTTTGGTTTTACATTAACCACAGCTTGTAAGGAAATTAAAAACCACCCGCCATGTGGCTTCTTGGCCAGATAATCCCGGATTATATGGAAGAGCTCTCTGGTGGATAATCTATACGTTTTATAGCCATAGGTATCCTTTAAAAGACGCTTTTATTTCATTATGAAAGCAATTTGTTAATGTATTTTTTATTCTCGGAATATTTTGTGGGCAAAAGGATCCGTTGACTTGTCAACAGGAGATAAACGATTGCCAAATTGGTGTCAGTACGTTGAGAAAGTGGTGGGCTTCCCGTTCACGGGTCGACAGGGTGTAGGTATACACTCGGAGTGCCTGGATTTATAAGCATACTTACCTAGCGTCGGGGTTACCGTGATCACAAAGGCGGTTCCCCCAGGGTGAGGCATTTCCATTGCACTACGGCTTGGCTGACCTCTGCGAATATCCCAAATGCGGATATCTCGGGCGCGTAATTTTTGGTAGTCGGGACTGCGTACGCGCTATCCCGGACATAATTCGATTTACAAACATCTGAAGGTCGTGTACGGCGTGTTCGAATCCCGATTCAGACACTAACTCTTAATTATAAGGACTTAAGGTATAAGGATTTAGTTGAGATGAAAGAGTTATTATCTCAACGGGATTCGAACACACGACCTTTGGCTTGGATGGGAGCTGGTGTCCGAATGGATCGAAGTCACGATAGCTCAAGTGGTTAGAGTAGCAATCGAAGATAGTGGGTTCGAATCCCGCTGCAGACACTAACTCTTTCATCTCAACTAAGTCCTTATACCTAAGAAGAATAATTAATTGAAATAAGTTTGGTCAAATAGATCTCTAAGTAAGTTACTCACCGTTTAACGTTTAGAGATCTATTTGACCAATTTTATTTCAATTAATTATTCTTCTTAGGTATAAGGACTTAGTTGAGATGAAAGAGTTAGTGTCTCAACGGGATTCGAACCCACGACCTTTGGCTTGGATGGGAGCTGGTGTCCGAATGGATCGAAGTCACGATAGCTCAAGTGGTTAGAGCAGCAGTCGAACATCGCGGGTTCGAATCCCGTTCTTGACACTTACTTTTTCACCTCAACCAAAACCTTACATAAAAAGAATAATTAATTCAAATGTTATTACTGCTTAAGATACACAACTATTTCCTTAAACGTATAAACAACGTATATAAACACAAAATAGCAAAATCTTACTGGCACTCTCGTCACGACACGCAAGAATGGCACAATTATACAGAAGACAAACACTTTGAGTGAGTAGAAATACTTTGATTGAATATAAAAAATATATTTTGCAATATATAAATTCACTTTTCCACATCCCAAATGTATCTGGTAAATGTAAACAATGTTTGTAAATCACAGGCCCTGAAGATGATCTCAATAAAGATCGAAACGTTGGCATGATAAAGAAAATGTTTTTCTGAAACCTACATCACACCAGACCGCATCTCACGATTTCTAAATAAATATTTCCTTAAATTAATAATAATTAGTTCCTGATAGGGGGTCATAATTTAACTTATAACTTTATTCACCATTGAACGTTTAGAGGTCTATTTGGCCAAATTATTTTTTTCAATTAATTATTCTTCTTAGGTATAAGGACTTAGTTGAGATGAAAGAGTTAGTGTCTCAACGGGATTCGAACCCACGACCTTCGGCTTGGATGGGAGTTGGTTTCCGAGTGGATCGTAGTCACGATAGCTCAAGTGGTTAGACCAGCAGTCAAAGATCGTGGGTTCGAATCCCGTTCGTGACACTTACTTTTTACGGTACCTAAGTCAGCGGAAATAAACAATGAGAAAATATTGGGCAACCTTTAGCTTCGGCTTTTGTACTATGTATTTTCTTCCATACTACCCTTGTTAAATTAGTTCTTGAATAACATTTCAAAGAATAATTCCATGAACGTTCTGTTCAACTATTTTGACAAAAGAAAATACACCAGAGACATCCTACTGTTCAGTCGACACGATTCACTGAGGAGTCGCGACGATGTATCGCCTGGAGCGATTGACAAGCTGTGTCGCACGCCGATAATTGTCGTAGTAAGCGATACGATGTCGGATTGCATATCGCATCACTTGTCGTATCGCTCCAGTGAGCACCGTCCTTAAAGCTACTCTAATCCTTTTCGTTTAAGAATGTTATGCAATTTTTCTGATAGTTCACCAATATATGGCCAACAACGAAAACCAAAAGATTCATTTTTGGCGGGGTCGCTTCTTTGTCCCTTGCTTTGTTATTTTTTTATTCTTTTCATTAACAACCTATGGATAATTATTTCTTGATGTCCATTGTTTTAGCTAAGGTTTTAATTGTTGGTAATTCATTTTTATAGTTAGCAGGTGTTAATTGGGGGTTTTAACATACGGTCTATCAGCCAAATGAAACAGCTTTTTGGGGTAAGATGGGTGAGAAGAATTCGCTGGTATCATGGTGTCTATAGTTATGGGTTTTCTATGTACGTGTATTTCAATTAGGTTATTTATTATGGACACTAGGGCCTAGGGAATCAGATCATTATAACCGAACCTCGTTGTTACATATCAAAAACGCACATATTTGAGAAAAATGTTTGGGTTAAAAGAATAAAGCCAGTTATTAAATATTTACATTACATACACATGTATTATTATATAAAAAGATAACTTCCATAAAAATTATATTTGCTTACTTTATGTTTATTTTACTCGTTTATTGATTATCATTGATTCATTCAGTTTTGCGTAAAATCATCATCGTAAAATCAATCATAGTGGCTTGCATGCTTGATTTATCTAGGGTATTTAGTTGACAGAAGCAAAAGTACGCTCTTCAATAGACAAAACTTCCGAAATTGAAGCTACTTGGCGATAGGGGAAGAAGAAAAAAAAAAGAAAAAAGGCAAACTTGTAGACACAGAACTAAACCAAAATGGTGACTGAGAATGAATTAAAACGAAAATGAAAATTTGTGCGTATTATATACCCGGTAGGGGAAATTCAAATTCAACTTCATCTTAGTAAAAGCGAGATCATTAGTCATTTGTTAATCTCTAAGTTCTAAGAGGAAGAAATGTCAGAAAATAGTTATAAGGGAATCAAAGGACCTACTTTCGTATGCAAAATGCATCCGGATGTTATATGCGAAAAAAATAACTACATGAACAGAAAAGTAACCATAAACATTGCGCAAAGTCGTTATAAGAGAATTCCACTGAATATTGTTTATATTTGTGAATAGAAATCCGAACGATTCGCCTTTTACTAGAATCCCTTTTCACCCTACCGTTCTCCTTCCATCGTAATCGGCCTCTTTCCTCTCACTCCTTATCGCTATCTCCGTCCACTCTGCGTGAGGTGCCTTGCTGACAGCAGGCCAAGCGTCTGGCTTTAGTGATTTCGAGGCAACGAGCCCAGTACGCATCAGCCCGCCGAGGGATCAAGTGAACCAGTCGTTCCATCTCTCAGAAAGATGAGGGAAGACATTTACACCAAGGTGAGCGAGTGGTAACTTTTCTTGTTCTGCATCGAAATATCACGTTTTTCTGCATTTCTGCAGACTCGGAGAGTCATTGAGCCCATTTTAGTGAAAAACCGAGACGTTCACGACTACAGACTTTCAATTTGAATTGAAAACCTAGTGAATGTTTCTTTTTTTATGAATAATAATTAAATATCGGTTAATTAATTACATTTGCCATTTAATTTATTTACTCTCGACAAGAGTTTTATGTGTTTGTCACCACTCTACTAATTACATATTATTTGAAAGAAAAATGAATAAATAAACAAATAGACGTTCAAATTATTTACATAATTGTGTACAAATATCAACTCCATTAGGGCAAAGGCTAGAAGATAAAACCAACAAAAGAATCCGGTTTAATTTTAAGAGAGGTTGCATATCTCTTTCCCAGGCACGTTTATTTACAAAATAAATTTTAAAAAATCTCAATGTTTGTTTGTAGTAATGCCTATTTGATTTTCAACTATAATAATCAGGGTATGACGTGATTGACAAAATAACCGGTCCAAAATTCAACAGTCGAAATTTAAATAGTTGGAAAGTTCAATTTGAGTTGGTAAAACGTTTTGCGAATTTAGTTCTATTTAAAGGCTTGTGACGCGAAGCGAGTGTTTATTTCATTGAGTGACTCACTTCCTCTTTAGCCTGGTCGTGTTTGAACCAGGAAGAGTCGGTGGCCGTTCCTTTGTCCCGTGTCAACGGAATATCAAAAAGCCCGTTTTATCCAATTGATAAATTAATATCGAAGGTTGGACGTGGAAAGAATAGACAAACAGTCCATTAATGTCTACGATAACATTTGACACCATTATCAACGGTTGGGCTGAACCGATATAAACATCTAATTGGAATGCCGATGTTCGAATGTGTAAATTTGTTTACGAGAGATTTTAAAAGTGGTTCAACACAACAACACAACGAGAAGTACTCAGGAACTGCTAACACTGAAATACATAAGCCGCATAACAAATTAGGCATACCCCCCAAACTAAAAAACTAATTAAAAAAATTAAAATTAACTAATTAAAAAAAAGTTGGATTATTCTCCTAAAAAGTTTTTTTTCTGTATGCATTATTCACCTAAAAAGTTGGTTTTTCTATATACATTATCCACCTATTTTTTAAAATACATTATTCACCTAAAACTTTGGTTTTTGTATACATTATTTACCTAAAAAGTTGGTTTTTCTATATACACATTCACCTAATTTTTTAAAATACATCATTCACCTAAAAAGTTGGTTTTTTATACAGTATTCACCTAAAAAGTTGTTTTGTATACATTGTTCACCTAAAAAGTTGGATTTTGTATACGTTATTCAGTTAAAATGCAGGTTTTTGTATACATAATTCACTTAAAAAGTAGGTTTTTGTATTCATTATTTACCTAAAAAGTTGGTTTTTGTATACATTATTCACCTAAAACGTTGGTTTTTGGATACATCATTCACCTAAAAAGTTTTTTTAAAAATACATTATTCACCTAAAAAGTTGGTTTTTCTATATACATTGTTCAACTAAAAAGTTGGTTTTTGTATACATTATTCACCTAAAAAGTTGGTTTTCTATATACATCATTCACCCAAAAAGTTTGTTTTTGTACACATTTCACCTAAAAAGTTGTTTTTCTATATACATTATCCACCTAAAAAGGTTTTTTTAAAAATACATAATTCACCTAAAAAGTTGGTTTTCTATATACATCATTCACCCAAAAAGTTTGTTTTTGTACACATTTCACCTAAAAAGTTGGTTTTCCTATATACATTATACACCCAAAAAGTTTTTTTAAAAATACATTATTCACCTAAAAAGTTGGTTTTTCTATATACATTGTTCAACTAAAAAGTTGGTTTTTGTATACATTTTTCACCTAAAAAGTTGGTCTTTATATACATTATTCACCTAAAAAGTTGATTTTAGCAGAGGTTTTTTAATTATATGTAATTGTTACCACAGGTGTTCTCCACCTAAAAAGTTGAAGAATAAATAAATTTAAAATCAATTTTTAATCCGGAAAGTAATATCACATACCTATTTGTTTAAACAACATTTTTTAAGGTTTAACATTCTTTCTAACTTAGAAATCAGGTTTTACATTAGTCTTTTAAGACTGCACTGTGCCTGATTTTCCCTGGGACTCACTCCATCTAAAACATTAAGATTATGTGAAATTATATTACATTATGTGCTGGTAAAGGAAAATAGGTCCTAAATTTATTCACAACCTAAAAAGTAATTTTTTTAAACGAGTTCTTTTAAGGCCGCACTTTAAGAACTGCACGAGGCTTACTCCACCTAAAACGTTAAGGTTTGCATGAATTTTCAGACAGAGAAAGCAAATTTTACGACCGCACCTAATCTGGCAAGTAATATTATCTGTCTTTTCTTTATATTATTGTCTTAATTGTACGAATTATTAACTTAAAACTTACACGAGTTCTTTTAAGGCTGCACTTAACGTTTTGCGCCTGCTTTCCCCATCTAGAAAATTAGGTAAAAAGTAGATTTTCACATTTGTTCCTAGTTCGGAAGGTGGATATTACGTGTACGCTTGTAGTTAAAGTAGGTTTTAATTTTATTCTTAACTTAACCATTATGTTTGACGTGAGTTTTTTTAACCTGGACTGTAGATTTTGCCTGAGGCTTTCCCCATGTAAAATGTTAAGAAAAATAAGATTTTACGTCAGTCCCTAGATGGAAAATTAATATTACGTGTGTGGTGATTAGTGACCGTTAATCGATGATTATTCGGTAATCGTGAGATGCGGTTTGTGAATCTCACACGAGGGAACTCTCAATACGACACGCAAGAATGGCACAATTACACAGAAAACAAACACTTTGAGCCCTGAAGATGATCTCAATAAAGATGGAAACGTTGGCACGATAAAGAAAATGTTTTTCTAAAACCTACATCACACCAGACCGCATCTCACGATTTCTGAATAATAATATTACATGTGTTTAAAAGTGAAAGAAAAAAGTTTTTACCTTTATTCTTAGCCTAAAATAATATGGCATTATCATGTAGTTAAAAAGTAAATTTTATACATTAGGAGTCGTATAGGTACTTAAACGGTTTTAAGCCTTCTGTCCCAATGTAGAGGAAACTAACTTCTTTAATCATGTTTAAATTATTTAATGTTATAATTGTAACAACAATCATTTACTCAAACAATCCGAGCTAAAAAAAGACTGTTATGAAAATCGGTTCTTTGGACTTCTCTCTATCTTGAGCCAATATCAGTGTAAAAACATTTACCTACTCCAAAATATTTTTACTCGTTAATATTGTAGGCTTAATAACTTAAAAGAGCGTTGGCCTCGACGACAGCCCGGACAGAATTAAACTCATATAAGTGCCAAAGGAACATGTAAAAACCAGAAATATTGGTGGACTTCTCTTCCAATTCCAAATTCCAAAAGATAATCTCGTTCTAATATCAGACAGGGATGAAATTTACGTTTGTATTTCCTGTTTTTTAATTTTTATATATATATATGTTCCCACGGCTAAATATATAGGACTGTTTATTCATAGAAGTTCCTATTCAAGTTCAAGGCGTATTTCCGCGTGATTCCTTTCAGCGGCTGTAAACAGAGTCTGAACGGCGAGAAAGTCTTTATTTGGAATGAGAGATATAGGAGTTTTCACAGAACCGTGGGCCCGACTGTTTAATATTAGCCTTCAGGCATGTTGAATGCATTTGACTCGAATTATGATTCAATCTGGACCCGAACGGATGAAAGTGACGACAGTTTTAACACGGCTAAATAGCTAATATGAGAAGTAATTAACAAAAAAGTATATTTCTAACGAGGCCTATTGGTTTATCTTTAGGGCTTCGTGTGGAATAAAGTATAAACACGAGAGGGTTCGAACGTGCCGTAACAATCACCTTCCTTATCGCTCGTCCTTTCGACAGGATGAGTCTTTTTTAAAAAAGTATACAAATAAGACTAAGCACTTTCCTCGGTGCCATCGCACACCTCTTTTGGTGTGAGAATTTTCTTACAGAAATGGCTGTACCGTAACCGGGCTAATGCTTCATATTCACAAGGATATTTGCCTATGTCTCTGCTTCCTCCGTACAAGTCGGCATGTTTCTCTCTCCGCTTTCCCCATCTTCTTTCAAGAGGAGTTCCTTCGCCGACCTTTTTCAGAAATTTATAAATCTCGTTGCTTGCCACTTACCTCCATCACTTGAGTTCTTTTTGGTTCTAGTGCCATGGGTAAAGTGCAGCCCTTTTGGCTAGTTAGTCAGCCTGTTCATTTCCTTCTTCATGTCCGAGAACCCACTTTAAGGTAATCCTGATGTGTTTTCCTAGAGCTATTAGACAATTTAGGCAACCCAGATGGGTTTGGAGTTGTAAGCTTATGAAATTAGTACCTTCACAGTTGCCAGACTGTCTGAGAGTCTTTGTGCACCTTTCAAATTTTTCTTTACTAACTTCTGTGCACCGGGTTGTATTAGATGAACCTCAAAAATTGTTGGGATTAGTCCATGTGGTAGTTCGATTTTTACCTCTACACCTACTCACTGTTCCAACTTTCATCCTTTACGATTAGGGCGTCTTCCTGAATCTTGGGGTACCTATCTTCCAATGGTCTCTATTGTCTATGACTATGGAAGAGTGGAGGACTGATACTAAACCTATTGGCTGGGTTAGACGTGAGGATGAGGAAGTGTATAGAGTTTCAAGAGCAAAGGATTGAAAGTCTGACATCGAGACTCTTGAGCATTAGCGGCCCATAGACGGTCAATATTATTGTACAATATAGATTGCACAATAATTGGACGGTTGCCCCTTAACGTTCAATAATATTGTTCAAAATTTTGTTTGTGCAATGAACTTGAATAATTTGAAGGCGATATTGAAGTTTGTGCAACTTCACAAACTGACTGATATTGCGCAATAATTCTAACAGAAGGTGCAATATTTTCCAGGTTGTACAATATATTTTC